CCATTGCATCGAGAACTCGACCTAGCCCATGGAACGGGGCGTGTGAGAACCGTCGGTAGGGAGACGAAAACGGTGGAGATTGCTGCCTTCGAATCGCCTTCTCGCACATCACGCAAAGACCCTGGGGCCACTGACATCGACCACAAACCTGTCATCGGGCGTCACCAATGATTGGTAGGTCAAAACAGCTGACTTCATCGGATCGAACAATCTGGGAAAATGGGACTATGCAGGACGACGAAGTTTTTCTTTCGCTGACCTCTTGACGGTAGTGCACGGGGTACGGCGGGACCACCCGTCCCACACCTGAATGGAGTCGTGATTTTCCGCAAGGGGGGCGTAAACCTCTTGAACCCAAGCCCAGTCAGAAGCGATCGAGGTCAACGGAATGTACAGCCGTCGGAGAGGTTGAGACAATTCCACAACCCAGGAAACCTCTGCCGAGGAGCAAGTTCAACTGTATGGGGACTCGTTGGGCAAGTCTGAGCGATTGCCGGACGATCTATTGCCTGGACGAAATGACGATGCTCCAGGCTATATGACGCCTGGAATATAAACAGGGAGTGGACAGGGACAAGCTTGTTAACAAGCGACTGAGATCAAGTTGCACGAGGGGGACAACTGGATCGAATGGAGCGGCCAAGGAAGAGAGTTTCCAGTCAAGTGCTTGGCAATCGAGAAAGGAGGAAACTAGTTGCCATTTCGCGCGAATCCGTTGGGTCTTGGATAGTTGAACTCCTGGATGACTGACTGATTTCTCCAAGAATTCTCTTGGGGGCGCAGGGCTAGTTTTGACTAGCTTCGTTGTTATCAGAAGCACGGAGATTTCTGGCAGGACAGGCTTGTCCAGTCGCCCGCAACCTCAATCTTCTGCCGCTGAACCCAAGGCACGAGTGGATCGGAGTGGAGATCTGGGAAAGACAGGAAAGCCAGTCGTTGCGGGCTACCGATTCTAGGTAGGTTTGCAAGACCTCCCCAAAAGTGTGGTAGGAGGAGCTGCTGGAGGCTAACTAGCAGCGACTGGACCGTTCTCAGTGCGTGATTTTCGAGCAGGAGAGCCTAAAAAGAAAGAAAGCTTTAGTCTTTTTTGGGGCCAGAGTTGCGTTCCGAAGAAAGGGTGACCATGTCCGATCATCAGGCATCCGATCCACCATTAGGGTTGATCTGCAGCCTCCTCCGTCTTGTCCAGCGCTGCGTCGGCGACTGTAGTTAGGGTAACTTAGTGTGCAGCTGGCAAATTTCCCTCGAATCCCTCTTCGCATTGCTTCCCTAGAACAAAAAGAAGAAGTAGTTCATACTAGCAATTAGGACACAAGAGAGGTACGTACTATCATTTACAAAGGATATGTTCGGTGGAAAGGAGAAGAAGGAGGATTACTACACCGGACCATGTCTCTAGATTGGAGGATCTGCGGATTGATTGGGGAGGAGAGGTGGGAGAAAGTGGGTATGGGTTCCATTGCTCCCAATCGCTCATCCAGATCTCTTGAGCACTTTAGCTACGTATTAAGTATGCTAAGTTGTTAATCAAGACAACACAAAGAAAAAAAAAATCCGAATAAACTAAAGGTAAGTAAAGGTACGGAGTAGAAAAAGACCAGAGTCTCAGACAGACAGACATAAGCCAAGTCGGTAGTTGGTAGCTGGTCTCACCTGCAGTTAATCAATTTCAATTGCATTATTATTTGCCCGACCAAATTTCCATCTCTCTCTTTCATTCCCTTCAATTCCCTTCCCCCCCCCCCTCACCCCTCTTTGAATTCCCCTCCCTCTGGCACTCTTAGTTCTCTCCCCACTCGGTCCATCCCCGGCCTTTGACTTGATCTTTCGCCGCCTTTAGATCATTTGCCCCCCCGGACACTCGCTCACTCCAACTCCCTCTACCGACCCGATGGTTCGACTGGCTTCTTAATAATAATCGGATCCGATCTCGACCTTCCCCCCCCCTCCCTTCCCTTCCCAACGCTTGTCGATCATTCAATTTCTATTCCTATTCCTATTCCTATTCTTATTCTTATCCGTTCTTCACCACAACCAATCCCTCTCCATCTCATTTCTGCTCAATCGATGTTCGGACTTGCATCCTCTTGACACTCCAGTACTCGCTCTTTTACTACCTACTCCTTATCTGTCCGCCCCTCTTCTCGATCACCATCAACGACCGTTCCGATTCTGAAACCCCGCCACTGAATGCTACACTGGTGAACGTCCCCGCAGTCTGGCTTGGAATTTCGGTCGGACCTCTCCCCGTCCTTCGCTCTGTCTCATGGATATCTTCCCCCCGCCATATTGTCGCCAATTCAACTCGAGTTCATAGATATGGAGGTTCAGACTTTGGTGTGTGCCCCGGGGAAGCCTCCTCTCCCCGCACAGCCCCAGCTTCCCGCAGCCGCTGCTGTGCCTGAGAAACGAAAGCGGGTCCGGAGATGGCATCACCGGGGGTTCACCGGATGTTCAACCTGCCGTCGTCGCCATGTGCGCTGCGACGAAGCGTCGCCGTCGTGCAAGAATTGTACTCGGTTGGGTCTCGAGTGCGATGGGACACAGGGCCGCATGACTTTCAAGGTCTACGGGCCGCCACCGGCTACTTCCGAAACTACAACTGCGCCCACGAAAAAACGAGACAAGAAGTCGACCTCCCCGACACCACAAGAGGTGAAGCAGGAGTTGAAAGAGAAGGAGGAGCCTTTCGAGGCACTGGTGGTGTCTCCGACAACTGTTTCAGACTTCAAACCCATAAAATACCGTTTCCAGGAGCCGATCTCCCCAGCCGAGTTTATATCTTCGTCTCTCGACTGTGTTGAGGGCCGCTATTACACACACTTTGTCGATCAAGTCGCTACCTTGTTGCTTATTTACGACAATTCGATCAACATCAATCCCTATCGGCGGTTTTTCCCGGACCTCGCCCGGTCGTCACCGTCCATGGCTAGTGCCATGCAGGCTATGGGGGCACTGCATCTCGCCAATACTTCCAAAGGACAGCAACGAAACAAGCATTTTCAACAGGCCATGAGCAACTACGGTGAAGTTGTTAAGTCCTTCAGGACTCGATACACCGAGCCAGACCAGAGTGTCCGGCTCACCGACCTCGCCACTTGTCTATTGCTGTCTTTGTTCGAGGTAAGTTCATCCCAGGCCTGCGTCACTGTCTTTCGTGCTGACTGGTTAGATGATGGACTCTCAAAACCACAACTGGGCCATTCATCTCAAGGGAGCCCGCGAGATTTATCGGATCTTGTTCTCCGCCAATGACGACCCTGCGAAAGAAGCCAAACGGCTCGCTGAAATCAACCACCCGATCCGACCATTCCTGGTTTCTCTTCTTTCATACCTCGACGTCGCCGGAGCATGTGCCACCAGCGAAGGCACAGTGGTAGAAGGTAGTTATTGGAGAACACATGGAGGGGGCTGGGAGTACAATCTTGGTACTCCAAGTCTGTCTTCCGAGCCTCCCGCCTACAACCACCTATTGGTGGAGCTGCGCCAATGTTGGTCGGTGATGATGGAAATTCAAGTGGCAATTAGTGCTTTCGGAAAAGCTAAACACGATGGCCTCATGTCGCTTGAGCAGGAAGACCTTGTCTATCACGAACTGCTGCAGCGTCTAGTGCAATGGCGCTTGAACGCTCCTGACGCTCTTCAGAGCCTAGGCGGATTGGATGATACGAGCTTACAGCAATATCCTTATCCCGATGTTCTCGAATACGCGGGATGCATCGAGGCTTACGAAAAAGCCACTAATATATTCCTCCACCGTGTGGGAGCGGCAGGACGACCTGATCGTCCGTCCCAAAGGCCACTACTGGACATGCTTGCGTCGCGAATCTTAGCACTAATTGGAAAGCTCGCCAAAGACGTGGGACAACTGGCGGCACTATGGCCCCTGTTTACCGCGGGACATGAGACACGAAACGAACATGAACAAAAATATGTACGACAGACAATGACCGAACTCCAGCGGTATGGTTTCAAGGTATGTCCTCAAATAGTCTTGCGTTATATTTCTAGTGAAATACTTACAATCGTCTAGAATGTCGATCGAGGCCTGGAAGAGTTGGAGAAAGCATGGTTCAAGCAGCGTGCCTTCCCCGAAGGATGGGTCGAATCAATGGATGACATCCGTTCCTCCATTCTTCTTCCATAATCACACCCTTCTCGTCACTCTTATAATTCTTCACCTACGATCTCGCATCGGGAACTATGATGCCCGAGCGTTCCTCCCACTTCTTACCCTACGAACCATGGTCGGGTGACATTATATTTTTTGGTTTCTATGACATATTTAGCGGGGGACTCGATTGTATTGGATGGCGTTTATCGGGTTAAGAGGCGCTTGGTCGGATAGGGCTGGACCCTCTGGTTTGCTACACATGTAATGTTACAGGTCCTTCGGACTGGATCAGCACGTGCAGTGGGATAGATTGTTTGGGTTTGTCACCTTCACATACCGCGGTGTATAGACGGCACATACAGGATTCTGATGATACATAGAACATGGTGAAGTAATGTATCCAGCACCTCACTGCATTTTTGATAAGACTAAAACGACCATAGGTTTTGCTCTTGGTCAAGCCATGAGAAACCCAACGAAATAGAGAATCCGACACCACTAACCTGAATAGAGAGCATCGTTTCTTCTTCAAGCCTTCTCAATCTATTCGGATGCTTAAATAATTCCCTGTACCTGTACACTACATCGTAAAACACAACGAGCATTAAACCGCCAAAATAAAGCATTCCACGCCAGGATGCCTTCTAATGCATCATCTAGATATCTACAAGTAATTATACATATGAACCGACCAACCCACACACCTTTCTTCATATTTTTCCCACCCTGCTTCACTCCGACCATACCAGCTGAACTTTTAATATTTGCTTTCTCCCCGTCTTGCAGTTTGCCAGGGACAAGATCAGACCAGAGACCAACCATCTCCAACGTCCGCCGGTACTGAAACATAGTCCGCCGCGGAATCCACCACTTTTTTCGCATATCATCACTCAGTCGTCTCCGAAGAAGGTCCACCGCCTTCCCCCGCACGAGCACCACCGCCACCATGACTGGCGCTACTCACGCCGACCTCCTCAACCGAGCTCTGCACCGCCCCTTTACTATCGATGAAATGCGAGATGCGATCGATCGGCAACCACGCGCTTTCCGGGGTGACCCAGTAGGAGATCAGGGCGAAGATGGTCACACCGGCCATGATGATGGGGGCGTCTTGAGGTTGCGCGCATTAGTTTTCCGGACCGTGAACAAGGTGGTGATTTGAAGATCAAAACGGGGGGAGACAGGACGTACAGTTCAGATTCGCCCCGGTGACGGGGAACTCGTAGGGGGAGAAGAGAATGGCGACGACCCAGGCGTTCCAGAAGACGCCGATGAACTGGAAGGGCTTGCTGAGGCGGCCCAGACTCCACTCGGGTTTGGGGAAGCGGTCGGGCGTGCACAGCAGCCGGCCCAGGCAGATGAGCCCGTAGGCGGCGGCGCTGGGGACGCCCGCGGCGGAGACCAGCGAGGTGAACGCCACGTCCGACGGCAGCAGCGTGCACGAGATCAGGGCCGCCACGCCCCAGACCACGATGACCGCGTTGCGCGGCTGGCCGTTCTTGACCCGCGACACCCAGTGCGAGAAGGGGAGGACGCCGTCGCGCGCGACGGCGAAGACGAGCCGCGAGGCGGCGAGGATGGCGATCGCGGTGTTCTGTTTCCCGACGAATGTTTTGGTTAGGAGGGTCGGGTTGGGTTTGGTGGGGAGGGAGGGGTTTTCGGGGCTAGAGGGGGACGGGACTCGTACCAGCCATAGGGCGACGATGCAGATTATGTTCATGAAGATGTGGCCGCCTTTGCCGAGTACGACGGCGTAGAGAGGCACGAAGGGCTGCGGGGAGCCGAAGGAGAAGAGCGTGTCTGGGTCGGGCTGGTGAAGGGGATGGGTCAGTGGGTTTTGCTTTGGGTGGTGGAAGTGATGGGTGGCGTGGGGAGCTTACCGCGCAGAACAGGAAGAGGATGATCGTCGCAAGCCCGCCAATGCCGCTGACTACGGTGCTCCAGAAGATACCGCGGGCGGCGGTCACGGAGGCGTGCTTGGTCTCCTCGGCGACATGACCGGAAGCGTCGAATCCGATCAGGATCCCGGCCGTCGCGAGATAGGACAGACACCAGTTCCAGCCTGCAGGGGCGCCGGTGCCGTTGTACGTGGACATGAAGGCCTCCTCCGCCGTGCGGAAGCCCCAGGTGTTGGCGGCGCCGATGGGCAGCCAGATCAGGTTGAGGAAGAAGTCCAGCAGGACGATGAGTGACGAGCAGTAGAAGACCCATTTGTATGCACGGGCTGGAAGGATTTTGGGTTAGTTTGGGGGTGTGCTATCGCACATCTGAGGGGCCCGGGAGGTTCGACATACGCGGCAGATAGTTCAGGAGCGCGGCCAATGCCAGGAGGATCTCAGTGCAGATCCACTGCACGGCGCGGAACTTGACGCTGGAGGTGTCTTTCGGAAAGTCGACGTTGAACACAGTCAACTCCTGCCGTGTTTGATCAGCACCCTGGGATCAATGGATCGGGGTGCGAATGACACATACGGAAAGCATGTAGTTCACGGCAGCCTGAGTGTTGCTGGCGCAAAACGTCGTCCATGCAGTGGTGCTCCACCATGCAACGACGAAGCCCAGGAGTCTACCGAACCGAGGGCCTCCCGCCTCTGCGGCCCAGAGGTAGATGGATCCTGCAGACGGAGAGGCCGAACATACTTCCGCAATGACCGCAGCAGTGATGTAAGTGAAGACCATGGTTACCAGGTAACTCGTCCTGTGTGGAAGCATGAGCCACCAGGCCGTGTCATTGGGATGTTGATAGCTCTCTCACCAGTAAGCCAGGTTACCGCCTGCTGCGATACCGGTGCTGAATGTGACCCGCACACCTCCGACAAAGTACAACGCGGCTGGCAATTGCGAGGTTAGCATGCGGAACTAGACGGGATCATGCTGTATACACTGGTCGGGGCACAGATTGCCTTACCGAATGTCGTTGAAAAGTTCTCAACCAGGGTGTATGTTCTATGCAGGACCTGTTCAGAGATGTATAAGCGGTTACCGTTTTCCATGTGGGTCAATGGCCAGTACTGACTGGCTTGTAGCCCATTGACTTCTGTTCAAGTGTGTTAGCATTGGAGTCCGCAATTTTCTTTCCTTTGATGCGCTATAAGATTCCAGAGATTTTGACGCGACACTTACCAAAAGTTTCGCATCTTCGTGAGATTCAGTCTGACTTCTGACGGGTTCGGCTTCGACAGGAAGTGTGTTGGGGTCAACCACCAGCTGCGACTGGTCCTGATGCGCCGGAGTAGCCATGGTCGGGATGTTACCAAGGCCGAGCGAAATTCAACACCGAGCGCTGGGTGTGTGTTTATACCAGACCAGATGAAAAAAAAAGGAAGAGAAAGAGTGTAATGAGATGGAGGTGGTTGTTTTCAACTGGAAGGCGGGTGAAATTTGCTGATAGAATTGAATGGAGATTTGCCAGGAACCGGCAACCCCACCAGGTAAGCCGCCAACAAGATCCAACGAATAGCAGAAAAGACTCCCGAAAGAGTTTGAGCGGGTAACAGCTGAGAGGCTGGAGGCCAGACCTTATAAGGAACCAGTATAAGGTTCCGACGGGGTTCCGACAAATTTCACTACATATAAGATTTCATGCAAGCCGACAGTTTACGCAGGTGAGTCGAACGTGGTGTTACCTCTACAGAGAGTACCTTTTTCGTGGGTGATTCCAAGGCGATCGCGAAGGCTTGATTGAGTCCGGAGATGTCTGCTCCGCAAGAGCCGTCAGGTGAGGGAGCGAAGAAATAGAAGCTCAAGCTGCACTCTCCACTTCTTAGCCAGGATTCCAATCAGTAGTTGTGCATGGCAGGATGAGACCACCGTGGGTCTCAACGAGGGAACTTTAAGGCAGGTTGTAGGTTTGGTAGCATCGTGTTGGCCCCGTTTTCAGATCCAGTCTAGCCGTACTTCAACATAACCAGCAAGTGCCTGGTAGTTAACATTATGATATTGGGGAGGGGCAAGGTCCTGTAAGTATTCAGCTTTTTTTCATCATAGCCTTTACGGAGTAGAATGAAGCGACTCTTTTCGTGAGTCACTAAGTCGAGACTGATCGTTGGCGGGCAAGGCAAGCAAGGAAGCACGAGAAGGACAACGACATCATTCCGTGATCAAATCCCAGCGGGGTCCACTGCCGGTGGAGCTTTCAGGAAAAAATCCGTGCGCGGCTATTATACCGGACTGCGTAAATGCTTTTTCGTTTTTGATTGCTGCTGCCAACATGTGCAGGGCATGATTGTAGCGAGAAATTCGATCCGACCATTGAGTATTTTTCTCGTTTCAACATTGACAAGAGATTGTCCGTTATGAGTATAGTTTGAATCAGATCTCATGAACTCGAAGACCAAGGACTCGAAGCCGGGGATTCGAGCCTCAGGCATCATACACCGGCTAAACTGTACCCGACAATGTCACCTGCACAGAACAAACAGAACAAACAGCTCCAGCATATAGTTACATAAGTTATACTTATGGTAGGTTCGGAATTCATGCCGATATCGCGATGACTTTTTATATCTCTTCCAGTAGATTTGTGATTGAGGATATCCTGTGGAGTATCTTAGATCTTATCATGTCGTGCCCAAAATAGCCTAAGCAAATACCACCAGGTTGACAGTCAAGTCGGAGCATAAACCACCAGGTCATCCCCCGCCAAGTGCCGCTGCCAACAAGCTCTCATTGCCAATCAAGGCGCCTTCCCCACGCGAGCTTCCCCTCATTTTATGCCGACAATCTCTCCACCGTCACATCCCCCACGGCACCGTGTCATCGGACGATCCGATGGAATAGTATACCGATTATCCGAACCGCAGATCCATCCACTCACTCACTCAACATCAGACTTGTGGAAGAATGGTCGCTGGTTTTCCCGCCCATCCCTTGCACGCGTCGAGCCTGGCCTCCCCCGCAATGCCCATCATCCGTCTCCTCCTCTTCTATTTTAACCGCCCAGAACCACTCATTTCTCATTCAAAGCCATAAGCTTTACCACTCAATCTTCCCTCTGTTTGCACACTTGCACACTTGGTTGGATCATTCTGAAGTTCTTTGTTCTGGGAAAGCGAACCTTACGGTCGATCCTTTATTCACCGCGGTGACTCCCGTCATCCTTCAGCGTTACACCATCTATGTTGCCTGGACGCCATTTCCCGCGAGGAACTCGTCATTGAGCCAACTCCGGACATGAAACTGCCCAGGATCCCGCCATTTGCTACTTAATCTACCGAGTACGGCAATGAGTGTGCCCGTGTACCTGCGCTTGGCCCTGCGGCCTTGCCAGGCTGCTTCGAGCACCTATCCTGGGAGATCGCTGCTTTGCCTTCAGCAGCCAGGCATGTGGCTCCCACTTTCACTGTGTGCCATTCAAGCTTTGTGGCAGGGTTGCTAATGTTACTTGAGGTCGATAGTGGTGTCATCAACCCGAATCCCTTCGCATGCGCTCGGATACAATTACTCCGCCTCGCTGCTCATCGGAGCCTTACAAAAGAGCTCCCGAAGATACGCGAGTAGTGCTCCCGAGCCCCCCGCTATCCCAGTCACTCCTTACTCCTCATTGACCGTGGGCGTTCCGCGTGAAATCTTCCCGAACGAACGACGCGTTGCTATCACCCCACAGAATGTTGCTCTCTTGCTCAAGAAAGGCTTCTCGCGTGTTCTGGTCGAGCGCGGGGCCGGTGAGAATGCTGAATTCCTAGATAAAGCCTACGAGGAAGCTGGTGCGGTAATGGTGGACCGGAATACCATTTGGTCTCAGAGTCAGATCGTGCTGAAGGTCCGTGGCCCTCAACTCCAGGGTCCCAACAATGAAGTTCGGGACCTGCGCCAAGGAAGTACGATCGTCTCGTTTCTGTACCCAGCACAAAACAAGCCACTGGTAGAAGAACTTGCCGCACGTGGTGTGACCTCTTTCGCTATGGATATGATACCCCGGATCTCTCGCGCGCAGGTATTCGATGCGCTGAGGTGCGTAAGGTTATGTTGGAAGCTGTTGGCAGTTACTAACAATGCCTGAATAGCTCTATGGCCAACATCGCCGGGTACAAAGCAGTTCTAGAAGCTTCAAATCACTTTGGTCGGTTTCTGACCGGGCAGGCCACTGCTGCTGGGTAGGCGACACGTCCCAAACTTAATGTCCGTGCACTAACGTTGTTGTTGATAGAAAGGTGATAATGCTCAAGTAGTGGATTGACTGCGTGTCGTGCTAAATGGTCGCTAGATACCCCCTGCCAAAGTGCTGGTCATCGGTGCTGGCGTGGCTGGCTTGAGTGCAATTGCATCGGTAAGCACTACGTGATCACGGATTCTATTAGCTTCAATTACCGACAAATAGTGTCTTAGGCTCGGAGACTGGGCGCTATTGTTCGTGGTTTCGACACTCGGCCCGCCGTCCGTGAGCAGGTTCAGTCTCTTGGGGCCGAGTTCATTGAAGTTGACATACAAGAGGACGGCTCTGGTCAAGGAGGCTACGCTAAAGAGATGTCCAAGGAGTTCATCGAGGCGGAGATGAAACTTTTCATGGAACAGTGCCGAGAGGTGGACATTATAGTCACTACAGCTCTCATTCCTGGAAAGCCTGCACCTAAGCTGATTACCAAGGAGGTGAGAATAGACCTCATACATTCATCGGACAACTTGCTTACTCTGATGTAAGATGGTCGCGGCAATGAAACCTGGCTCGGTAATCGTGGATCTTGCCGCAGAGGCTGGCGGCAACTGTGAAGCGACGGTTCCCGGACAATTGACCAAATACAAGGATGTTACTATCATCGGTTTGTCTATCCATGATATCGTGGAGTACGTATGAACTAACTAGATCAGGATATACTGATCTGCCGTCACGCTTACCAACGCAGTCATCGACCTTGTACTCCAACAACATTACCAAGTTCCTTCTCTCAATGGCCCCTCAAGAGAAATCCTTTGGTATAGACATATCAGATGAGGTTGTTCGGGGTTCAATCGTTACCATGGACGGAAAGATTTTGCCGCCAGCGCCACGTTCAGCACCACCCCCTGTTCCAAAGCCCGAAGCAGCTCTGCCTACAAAGGAGCAAGCAGAACTGGCAGTAACGCCTTGGCAGAAGGTGACCCGTCAAGTCGCTACTACCACCGCTGGTATGGGAACAGCTCTTGCACTAGGGAAGGCCACCGGACCTGTATTTATGGGAAACCTGATGACTTTTGGCCTTGCTGGACTCGTTGGCTATCGTGCTGTATGGGGTGTGGCACCAGCTCTCCATTCTCCGTTGATGAGTGTCACCAATGCGATTTCTGGTGAGTCCGCCATAGCCTCTCTAGTCATATCATAGTACTAATGGTTTCAAGGTATGGTTGGAATTGGAGGATTCTTCATAATGGGCGGAGGGTATATGCCCAGCACGATTCCAGAAGCACTAGGAGCTGCTTCGGTCTTAATGGCCTTCATGAACATCTCTGGGGGCTTTGTGATTACCAAGCGCATGTTGGACATGTTTAAACGTTAGTGGTTTACCTCTCCCACGAGAAGTCTTCTGACCATGTTTAGGGCCTACCGATCCACCGGAATACCCTTGGCTCTATGCTATTCCGGGTGTCTTATTTGGTGGAGGCTTTGTTGCTGCTGCCAGTACCGGGATGGCTGGACTGGTTCAAGCTGGGTACCTCGTCAGCAGTCTTCTCTGCATTGGTATGTATCATCATGCATCTATTGTGCCAGTGCTAATTGCATTAGCTTCTATCTCTGGACTTGCTTCTCAGCAAACTGCCAGACGCGGGAACATTCTTGGTATCCTAGGGGTTGGCGCCGGAATCCTTGCTTCTCTTGCCGCTGTTGGCTTCTCTTCCGAGGTCTTGACGCAATTCGGCATCGTAGCAGGCGTGGGCTCGCTCGTTGGTATGTTCTTCGCCATGTTCTGGAAGTTGTGGTGTTGATAATTTCTAGGTGCACTAATTGGTCGTCGCATTACGCCAACGGGGCTACCTCAAACTGTCGCTGCCTTGCATTCAGTTGTTGGATTGGCGGCCGTGCTCACAAGCATCGGTAGTGTGATGGCGGATGTTTCACACATCTCAACCTTACACATGGTGACAGCATATCTTGGTGTTCTTATCGGTGAGAGATCGCATACTTGTCTCTTGGGCAGAGTCCTAGCTAACTAGAGCAGGTGGTGTCACCTTCACGGGCTCGATCGTCGCTTTCCTAAAACTTGCCGGCCGCATGTCCTCACGACCCACAATACTTCCAGGCCGACATTTGATCAATGCAAGTCTGCTTGGGAGTAATGTGGCCACCATGGGGGCCTTCGTGACGATGGCACCCGCATCACCAATCATCGCTGCGACATGTTTGGGTGCGAACACTGTACTCAGTTTCCTGAAGGGCTATACCACGACTGCTGCTATCGGAGGAGCTGACATGCGTAAGTCAGAAATCGGCAGACATTGTGGCTGCTTGGCTGACAGACTGTAGCTGTGGTCATCACCGTACTCAATGCATACTCGGGTTTCGCCTTGGTAGCTGAGGGGTTCATGCTCAACAATCCGCTTCTCACAAGTGTGGGCTCCTTGATCGGAGTCAGCGGCTCCATTTTGTCATACATCATGGTCAGTGACTGAGCTTCCACAATCATTAAGCTTTTCTGACGTGATATAGTGCGTTGCGATGAACCGATCTCTAACAAACGTGTTGTTCGGCGGTATCGCTGCTCCGCAGCAAGCAAAGAAAATCGAAGGCCAAGTAACCCAGGTCACCGTGGACGATACTGCCGAGGCACTCTCAAATGCCGAAAGCGTTATTATCGTGTGTCTTCCCGTTTCTCCTGACGATGAGCTTGGCTGACCGCTGTAACAGGTTGTCGGGTACGGCATGGCGGTGGCAAAGGCGCAGTATGCCCTCGCGGAGATTGTTAACATGCTACGCTCCAAGGGCGTCAAAGTGCGCTTTGCCATTCATCCTGTCGCAGGGAGAATGCCCGGACAGTGCAATGTGCTCCTTGCAGAGGCCTCTGTACCTTATGATAGTAAGTTCCTGTCTTGGTTTACCTAGTTCCAGTGACTGATTCGGCACAGTTGTGCTCGAGATGGATGAGATCAATGACGACTTCCCCGATACGGACTTGACTCTGGTCATTGGCGCAAACGATACCGTTAACCCGATTGCTCTGGAACCTGACTCGCCCATCTCGGGGATGCCCGTGCTGCATGCATGGAAGAGCAAAGAGGTCATTGTGATGAAGCGTGGCATGTCTAGCGGATACGGTAGGGTTCTCACTTTGTTGAATAGATGAGATCATACTAATCCCGGGATAGCTGACGTACCAAACCCGATGTTCTATATGCCTGGGACCAAGATGCTGTTTGGAGATGCGAAAACTTCTTGTGATGGTAAGTATATTCGTCGATGATTCTGTTGTCGACTTCTTCTAACGCTTCATAGCTATCAAGAACGCCATAGAAGCGCGCAAATAGATTCTTTCGACGAATTTATGAATGGACATCGCAACGCGTCAAGGTGGGATGGAGAACTCATAATTCAGGGTCAGGAATCTCCGATATTGCAATCTTTTCGGACAGTATAGGATGTACCTAGTGCATCAGGCATGGAGAAGACTTCATAACGTGCTTGAATCTTGTCGACGCTTCCTTCCGTAGCTATTATTATCGCAAGCAGACTAATTCGCATTACAGAGCCGCGGTTTTTCATTGAGGCGACAAGACCACCACCTGAGATCTTGAAATCTATTGAAGTCGGCAGACTCCAGGCTAAGATTGGGGCGAGTCATTCACATTCTGAACGGGCCCAAGGTCACTGGCATCAGGAGATTCAGTATTGGCATGGTGCTTCCACACTGAACTCGGTGCCCCCTCCGTAAAAACATTATGACTTGAAGCAACTTTCACTCACACTCAATCACATTTGGACGGTTGCATTCCCTCTAAAGCAAGTACCTATTTACATAATACATTTATAATATAATCTGTTAACATTTCATCAGAACTACAAGACACCAGTGGATGAGCAGACCATTATTCAAAAGCCCCACCACCACCGGATCAAAATACGAAATTACGTCCGTGAGCCCGGGGAGAGGGGGAAGTGTCTACGCCTCTCGTACCCGGTGCGGGGCCGACGTCTCAGAAGCCCCCGGCTTCAGCTGATTCTGCAGCAGCGAGGGCACGCGGTCCATCGCGCTCAGCACAAACCCGAGGAGGACCATATGGAAGCACTCACCATTCGCCAGATCGCGGCCCTGCTCGTCGAAGTACGTCACCGTGAGCAGATCGGGCATCACGTCGCTGTCGCCGGGATTCTCTTTCTGGCGCATGTCACCGTCGAGGTCCAGGTCCAGCAGCACCAGATGCTGGAAGTCGAACAGCGCGACGTGGGAGATGCCCTGCTCGGCGCCGTACTTCCTGGCTTGCTGGGTGTGGGGGATGGCGTTGGCTTGGAGGCCGTGGGTTAGGATTGGGTTGTTTTTGGTGGTGGTGTTGTCGTTGTCGTTCTTGTTGTCGGCGTCGGCATTGTCGCCACCCCGCTGACGCTCCCCGCCCACGACGCCAAAGTAATCCTGCCCGCGCACCTGGTTCGGCGGCTTGATCACCAGCACGGCGACGTCGGTGCTGAACCCCCACGCCAGCCGGAGGGTCCAGACGTACAGCTTCTCGCCCCAGGGCCCGTTCGTGAAGCGGCCGGTGAGCTCGCCGCCCAGCCAGCTGCCCTCGACGAGACGCTTCACCCCGGGGATCAGGTTGAATTCCGTCATCAGGCCGACATCCTCGGCCGTCGCGAGTTCCGGCAGGGTCAGTGTCGGGAGCTCAGCGTCGCGGAGGCTGCGGTCCTGGGTGGTCAGCGCGCTGTAGCGCTCGCGCGCTTGGTCCAGGTACGTCTGCGCGGGAGTCCATTTGATGAGTTTGTAGATGTGGCCGTCCTCCGGGGTGGACAGCGGGGGCGCCTTTGTTATGGGCCGGTAGCGGGTTGGGGTGTAGCAGCGGGGAAGGCCGGTGTGGAAGGCTTGTTCCACGGTTTTGGTCGTGGCCATCTTGTTCGTTGGATATCTACCGTCTAGGGCTTTTGTTAGCCTTGCGGGGCAGTGGTTGATATGCTTGGTGATTTTGGGGATATTGGAAAGAGGGCTGTGATGAATGTGTTTGTTGGTGATGTTGTGGTTTATATACAAGTGGTCTCTGTCCAGTTATCAGACTCAGCTTGAATTTTCTTTTCGGTGGTATCCAGAAAGATGTCATGAATGTTACTTGCTACAAAGAGTTGTTGTTGGAGATATACTTCTCATCTCAGTGTTTCATCATTTATCTTTCGGATGCTGAGAATATCTGCTAATGTTGTCAGTTTGGGTGAAATGCCTTTGGCAAGGTGAACAAAGCAGCAACCATTGCAAAGCACTTTGTCATATCCTAGTGATGAGGGTAATAGACTTGCTTACCGCTGGCTAGTCATGTTTGGCGATGCATCTCTCTTGGAAGCTCTAATATCAACACTTTCACACTTTCACACTGTGGCTGAAGGAAAACCAACAAGCACTATTGCATGAAAATGTCATTCTTGCCAGTCAGTGTATAGCCACAAAGGAAAAGTTTGGTATAGTTAGCCGATGCTACAGGATCAAATACACTTCAAGTCGGCTATAAGTTACAAGGTTTGGTCAACTACCTGCAGATGCGGCACATTTGCGCGAGAAGGTAATTTGTGTCCGTGACAGACAACTCTGAAGGCGACGATCATGGGACTTCTCCGCTGGTGGGCGCTCTCATGTAGTCAAACTGAACGGCCATTGCAATGCAATATCAAATTAAGCTCTTATCCGGATATCTGTCGGCACAATGTGCTGGGGTCTATCACTATTGGCTCGATCTAGGACAGAAGACTACATAGTATGGCTTCGGCAAATGCCCGGTCATACTCTGTCTACAGCTATCGCAAACTGAACCCACGTAGGATCGAGTACCAACGAGCCTCAGCATCTATGCTTCTTTCCTAACCCCCACACATCACCATATACTTGCTGGAAGACCTACAGTACACTAACAGCCGCAAAACCTGGGCAACTGTTTTTTCATACTGGTATCGTTCCGTAAAATGGAAACACCTTCCCAAGCTGCAATACTCCCGAAATTCGAATACTGTATGCATGCAACTGTACGTCAGTGTTATATCGTTGATCGTCCTATAGGTGGACTACCCAGGACTACTGAGTAAGGTACTCTCGGCCAACTACCGAACCAGATTGAGAGATCCGGTTGGCACTTTTGTCATGTCAACAATAGAGCAAAAATACCAGACTCCACTTGGCTCAAATCACCGTTAGCGGGTTCGTTTTAGCTACCGGATGTCATTCTGCTGATCTTCATTACTTTCGTGTGCTTTTTCCATGCTAGTGTGTTCGCGTAGCGACCAAATGCGAGCCGCCAAGAGAAACTCTCCCTGCGATCCGCTCCCCACCATCATACGATTGATTTCAAGGCAAGGGAAAAAAAAAAAAGAATTGACGACAGGGCAGCTAGACAAGAATGCAGTTTCGACAAGCATATTTCCTACGTCTCAAGCCTGGCTGGTTGGTGTATGGTCTCCTGCTTTTTCCCTGGATACCACGAAATCGAAAATTCGCCTTGTATGTAGGGCGTAGAGAAGTTGTATGTTCTGCATGCACTGTGCCGGATGGATGGATGGAGGTAGGTAGGGCTTTGCGGCATGAAGGCACAAACCACCACCACCATACTGAAACCCTTCCTCCCTTCCAAGTTCCCTCTTCCATCCCTTCCCTTCCTCAACCACCAAAGCCATCGGCCCTACAACTCCAAAGACACTTGACACAAAATGACGCAACAACCGACATTCTCTCCCCTCCTTTCTGTCGTAGATTCGAAACCCCGAACCCAGGCATGGAAGTTGGCAGCTAACCAACTCCCCTAGATTCACAATCCGGTCCCTTCTTGGCCTGACAGCACCTGACGAAAGGAAGATAAAAAAAATAAAACGGGCTGTCATGCATCATATCGTCATTCTTCAGATACAAGAAGAAAGAAAAGTACTAGGCTGAATGCAACCCCGACCGCCGCTATTGTGCAGGGATAGTGCTCCTGCAGTGGTGTATAGACTAGACTAGACTAGACCTGGCGACTGTGCTGTTTGCCAGGGCGACTAAGGAGTACCAAACAACCCTAGGCTTGAGTTGCTTAAGTACCGTATAACTTACACTGTACACAAGGCCAAAAAGTCCATCTGTCATGCCGACTCCGAATTGTGATGGACCAATCCCACCCCCCTCCCCTTCCCCCCACATCGTTCAACGGTCTTGCGTGGAGACAAATGCGATGCATAGGTACTGTGCATACAGTGCAGAAGACAGAGACGGTGCCTCACTTTATCGGTCTGGGTAATATGCACCGTCCACCGTATGCTGCTGGGCAGAATAGGGGGGGGGGTTGAATATGACAGGAAAGCCTCGGTCATTTCGGAGGTTCCATTTCCCGGTAGTGAGTGAGTGGTGGGGCTCGTTGGAGTCAAAGTTGTCATATTGTCTGATTGTGTACATTACGAAAAAGAAATGGTGAAGATCAGGGGGAGGGGAGTCTGGATAGACTTGACAGGTGTCTCCATTCTCTCCTACAGCAATCACAAAAGGATGTGAAGTGAAGGCCAAGGCACGTATGTCAAGGAAAAAACTAGACTAGACTAGGAGTTGTTTTTAGTGTTTAGTTTAGGGGATTCGGAGATGTCAAGGGACAGATTTGGCAAAACGGGCTGTCATAGCCGGGCGGGTAGACTCCACTTGGGTGATTTGACTTACGCTACGGAGTACGGCCGTATACTGTACAGTACTAAGTTAAACAGGCCAGGGAGAGCAGGAAGGCCGTTGGCGGCCGCAACGCTCGGGAGGTCTCCGCAGTTTATATTGCACGGTTGAAGAGTAGAGAAAGATTGAGTGGGTCGAGCAATAATACACAGCATTATAGCACGGAGGACGGAGAGGGAAGGGGGGGGGGGACAGCAAAAAATAGAAGTGAGATGTGGGACATGAAGATTCTTTCTTGGTTACTGTCTGCTTATATTTGCCGGTTATATGGACGGTCTATAGAACGGGGATGTTTGACCCCCCTTTGATTCTACGTACTTCTCTTGCTGGTCAAGGGCGCATGTCACCCATTCTTACCCTTAAGGTATATCTCGACGACAACAGATGCGCGCGCCCGACTTTAGCGGTGTGTTGATGGTTGAGGGGGGAGGGTCATAATGTTTGCACTGCGAGGTAGTGGAGCACTCCAAAAGCTAGAGCGCCGGGCCCGTGTGTTCTGACATGCCCGTTTTACTGAGGTAAAGTGTCCCTCTCCCCGATAACACACCTCTCTCTTCTGAACCTTGGTTGTTGTGTATCTTCAAATCCTCGAGTCGGAACCGGTGGCGTTCTATAATGTGCAGAGATTTGTCAGAATACGTTCGCGTTTCAGAAAACTGACGTTGGTTGCTCCCATATATAGAACACTTGAAACGCCCCCTCCCCCATATCGATGGCGTGGTGATCACAAAGCGAACCTGCTCCCCCCGGGCGCTCAGCGATAAAGTTGCTTGGTTATCTTCTCCCCAAATCAAGCAGCACAGCGGCTCATCCCCCCGACCATAATTCTCCGGTTGTTGCCCCCTCTTGTCGCATTAGCCTTGGCTTCTTCCGGAAAGTGTCAGGGCAATGGGCCCCTCAACCGCTGGGAGAGGCGGGCACAGGGTGGGCTTGGAGAGAAAAGAATCCTGTTTCAATGGAGTCGGGTCTATCCAGACCTCGCCCGGCGTGAGAGCAAGAACCAGGCCATGGACGGAATTAGTGGCGATAATTGTTCATTATTGATCTTGCGACGATGAATATTGGCGGAAGCAATTGTTACAGCGGCTGCTGAAACAATGGATGCTTCCTTTGTGGTCGTCAGTTAACGCCCGAGAGGATCATTGGGGATTGCCTTGGGAGGGGTGTCTGGGGGAGAAAGACAAAAAAAAAGCTACGAAGCTTGGTCTGAGGAGAGAATGTGCTCCCTGAGCAGAGGCAGAAAATTGCCCATCTGCTGTCGACGTCACGTCGCAGTGTCTGGCCAGGGGGGGGGGGGGGGGGGTATATTGTGGCTGGGCTTTTATGCAGATGATAGGTACAATGATGTACTGCACATCAGGAGTATCAGATAGTAAGTTAAAGTGTACAGTGCTCAGTAGGTAAGTAGGACACACGGCACGGAATGATTCCAATTCTGCCCAGCTAAATATAAACCAAGATAACAAGATCGCATGAAATTGGAAGTAAGACGTACAGTGCATGAGTGTCAATTGTTGATCGCTTCGCGCGCAGAAGCGCTGGGGTTGCATTGAGTTTGCGTACCAGTGGGATGAAGGATGGTGGTGGTGGTGGTGAGGCCAGCAAGGGGAGAGGACGATGGAGCAGACAGAAACAGAGCTAAAAATACAGTTGGTTTAGTTAGTCTGCCGAAAGCACGGTCGTCCATCCTCTCTATACTACGATAAGCAAGTCCTCCGTGCTACGACCAGCCATCTGCATCTGCATCAGTCAGGATTGGAATCCCTCGTCAAGTACGGAGTACTTAGTAAACTTTTCCTCTGGCACACGAACAAACAATTACTGCACAAGCTTCGTTGCTTTTTCTTCTCCTTTGGGGCGGACCAAGCAAACCAAGAGGCGGACTAATCTGCCCCTGGCCCCTCCTCCATGCTATTCGGCTGTTTCAAGCTGCAACCACCGTTTGGATGTGTTCCTGCAGGTCGGATTACGGTTCGGCCGTTGACGGGTTGGGGAAATTGGAGTTCCTGAATGATGGTTCATTCATTTGGCTCTATGCAACATTCTGTCTGGTTCGAATTCTGTTTCGATGGAGGTTCTCAGTAGGTTGGAGCGGCGTGGCATCAGATCATGGATTATCATATCTATTTTCGGCGATCCTTATTCTCTGGGCGGGCGGATAACACCGAAGATTATCCTACCACCACCAGTTTGACGGGGGATCGCCGAATGATTCGAGCGAGGATTTTCCCGTCTTTTCCGGATACTCACTGTCTTTGGTGATCTTCGAGGCCTATGCGAACTTTGGATCTTCGGGAGATCACGGATGGGCACTTTGCCGTTTCTGTGTTGCTCTTGCCTCTATTTTTCAGGCAAGCTCGAAAAACTAGACCTCTAATTGCGGCCGTTCTCTGTGCCTTATTGTCTGTACGACTTCATCCGCCCTGGCAGGATAGAAGGATATGGTGGCGATGCATGGCTTTGCTGCAAGGACAGGGCACCGTCGCTGCAGGGAGCTTTGCGTCTATCCACCGTCTCCAGTTGATATTGCTGGGGAAAAGAGGGTCAGGGGAGAAGAAAAACTCCCATTTGCCGGTCGGGTCAATCGGCCTTGGCGCCGCATGGTCTCAAAAAGTGGGTAATGTTTAGTGCCTCTGGAATAGGGGCAAACTTGTTCCTGAGTACTGAGGACAAATAAAATATTTTCTTGCTTGCCATGGAATATATTCCAGTGAGGAAAAAAAATTTTTAAAAGTAAAAAAGTCTTCCAGAAAGGAAGGCGGGCATTCTGAGTCGGTGAGGAAGGCGAAGCGGGAAGAAGTTCACCTGCTTTGGGGCCTGGTGTGTTTGAATTAAACATGCTCCACCGTCCTGGAGCGGCGGCGTTGAATACGCAGGGTTTCTCAACGGCACGAACGGGACAATTGCTGGGAGACGATCTGGAGAGTATCTATCGAATCCCTGGTGGCAGTGATAGGAGTAGTATCAATGCACCTTTGTGTGCGGTTTCTCCATCGAGTGGTGTCAGTGCACTGTGTCATTTGATAGACCATTGTTCAGAGTCAAAATTGACTGATGCTCTGATCGAATGCGGTGGCATCGAGGCTAAAATGAGAAACCAACCAGGCACCCCCACCAAAGGTCTTAAGTTAGGGTGGAACCGGGCCAAAGCTCGATCGGGCCAGGAACAAGGAGAGAGTTTGTCGCTATTATTCAACCCGCAGTGAGTAGTACGTAAGTCCGACGCATGAGGAAGTGCTGGGAAAGTCAAGTAAGCAATTAGGGTTGCAAGAGATCCTGCCGGTAGTTTGGGAGAATGCGGAGGATAGCCCAGGACACGAACAAACAAGAACAGGTTCAGGAATTAGAGATGGTCACGAATCAGATAGAAAGGCCAACAAATGAGAATATGCAATGGAGGAAGCTAGTTAGTTATCCATCGGAAGGAATACTACCGTAATGATTGAAGGATGCACTCTCACTGAGCTGAGCTTTAGTTTGACTTACTTACCTACTACTTTACCTATCCACATGGCCATACCGGGCTTGGCATGAGTCGATCCTCATCATCATTGGTGATTAGGTGGTGGTGAATTGAGAATTGGGGGAACCAGCAATCTAGATGTGGCCGCCATTGATGCGCGCCACGGACTTTCCTTTCCCTCTTTGAGCTTCCTTTTCCCCCTCAATTTCCAGGCGTTCAGACGTTCAGGCATTCAGGCATTCAGGCATTCAGGCACCTAGGCACCTTGGTCCCCCCCCACCACCACACACATCCATCTCCGACAGCTCACGTTGATACGTCCAATCTCTTAGCGCTTCTTCCGCTTCTCCCTCTCCTCCAGGCTCCTCCTCCCCCCCCTCCCCCTTCCTCATGGCCGCTGTGAACCCAAATCCCCAAATCATGCTTTTACTCATTGAATAGTCCCTCTCGTGGCGCCGGAATCCTCCACAATTTGGCTCAATCTCGTCGGTTATCATTGCTTTTCCGGGCCAGGAGTGTGGTGATGACGATGAACAATACCCCGTCTATGCAAGGGTCGGCTGAACTGTCCCTGAGCTTCCAGTGTCCACACCCACACCTCCCTGGGGCTGCAGGAGGGTCAGGCAAGGATGGAAACGTAAGCACCACCTTCATTCTCTTCGCGCGTCCTGGATTCTCATCCTCTTGTCCATCCAGGTTCAAGTTCCTCAGCAGTAGTACCTGGCTAAGGTACAGTGACTGCCACTAAGGCCGAGGTACAGATCACTAGCGCCAACCAAGCAGAATACGGAGGAGGAACAAAAAAAAAAGAAAAGCAAAAAAAGAAGACAACTTCGGTCTCTAAACTCACTTCGTCCTAGGTCTTCTCCTGGTGGCGCACGTGTCATGCAGCATTGCTTTTCCTGCAATCCCCAATGCCCACTTCTGACTTGCTCCCCTCCCCCCTCCTCCCCTAGTGGAGCTCCTGGTCCGTTCACTCCGGAAGTTGTGTGATCGGATGGCATTTGGTGGCTTCGTTCAAACAAACCTCGACGGAGGGTCACCAGCTCCACTCCGTTTCGAGCATACCAACCCGTGTGGCCCATCTAACCCTGTCCAGTCCCTGTCCGGTATAATTGACATCCATTCTCTTCTCCTGTCGGTTGTCGGCTTCGTTTGCCTTCTCTTATCTTCATACCATTTCCTCTCACGTTCTTTCTTTTCTTTTCACTTGTTCCCACTCGTTGTTTGTTGTGTACATGGGTTGGCCCACTAGTCCATCCACTTACTCTTTCCTTATTATTGAGTACCTGCCGGGCTTGGGGGCTCTATCACTTTTCTCTCCTATTATTTCGTTCTTCTCTCGACCTTCCCACTTCACATCACCATGTATCAGACAGCAGCCCCTCTAGACCTGGACTACCTGAACCAGCAGCTTCTTCCTCGACAATACGAATCAGAGGAGGAGGAGACTTCCGAATCGGAGTTGGGATCCCATGACCATGCATTTTCGCCCATCAAAACTGCCGGTCCATATGATTCAGACATGAGCGCGGATGAGGTTTCCAGCGTCAACTCCCCTCAATCACCATCAGACCAGACCGCCTTCGCCCGCTTATTGTCAATGCATGCTACCGCAGGCAAGACCTCTCGGCCAGTCTCGCTAGATACCGTGAAACGTAGCAGTGGAACGACGTTTGTGCCGGAGTCTTACATGTTTGACGATGATGACGACGTGATCATCGAGCTGCCATCGCCTGGCAGCACCTCTCCACTGCGGTCTCCAGTCTTCTTGCAACCTACTGTTTATCAACCTCCGCAATCGCTGCGACATCAGCGTCGCTCTCGATCTTCTTCCCCTTGTTCTGTTTACTCGCTTGACGACTCAGTCGACGACTCAGATGTCTGCGTGGCTGAGAAAGTCACCATTGTCGAGCCTATTGCCAAGCCTAATCTGATCTTAATAAGCCCAGTCACCGATGGCCCGGTGGTAGAGGAGCCCGAGCCCATGTCGGCCATTTCAACGACGACTGAACCGGACCGATATCCAAGTGGTAAAGGACTGTACTCCCTCAACCAGGCAATCAAATCGCAACCGCTCCTGAGCGAGAGACGACCAGATCCCGCCTTCCACTTGAAGCGTGGTAGCCTGCAATTACATGGCCGCTATGCGGGGCAGCATCCTCGGCGAGCGGACACCGACCCGTTTGTTGCTCCCCGAGCCTTGGCAGATGTGCCCGAAACTCCCCAGCCCACCAATATGCGCTCGCAGTCCATGGCATTCAATCGACCAAAGACCTCTGCCGAGCATGTTGCAAACCGGGGACCCAAAGGCAGTCTTCTCCGTCGACCCCCATCCATGCAGACCGTCCATGGGGGCTATTCGCCCTTTCCTCCCCGCCACACATTCAATCATGCCGCCGATGAATCTCACAGCCGATCTGTGTCGCTCTCTCACTCCTTCGCTGGCTCTGATTACAGTTTGCCGTCGTCCCGCACTTCCAGTCCTGTTCCCTACTACTCATCACCCACATTCAACCGCCACCGCTCGGGCTCCACCTACAGCACGTCCAGCATGCCTGGCAACCGAGGGTTTCGGCCCCCAACGGCAGCCGCCTCGCTTATGCACAGTTCGACGGCGTCTAGTGTGTACTCAGCCAGCAGTCTGCGGTCGGAAGTGGAGAGCGTCTACAGCTTGGACCCACGCGAAGCCGCCGCGTCGGACGCCAAGGCTGCGCGGCGGAAGAAGAGTTTTCGGTACAGCCGAAGCGCTAAGGCCGACAGTGCGGAACCAGCCGCCAAGAGTTCGAGTTCTGGTTTCATGGGATTCATGTTACGAGGCAGGAGAAAGTCCACCATCCAGAAATAATGCTTAATTTGCGGAGATAACACGGGAAGAATTGCTAGATCTAGTGTTTCATCTTTACTTCTTCTTTCTACGTTTTGGGGAAAAGGTTTTTTATTTGTCGCGTCACGTCTCTACTTTGGCGTTCTTCGTCGGTTTAGCGTTTGCTTCCATGGGGTTTGTTTTTGGTCTGTACTTCAACTGCCTGGGGCGGCATTCCTTTTTTTCCTGGTTGTTTGACTTGTCGCACTGGATGCTTGTGATATTGCGATCTTACTGTACTATCTCAGAACCTCCTCGCCTGTCTCTTTTTTCCTTTCTATGTTCTGATCACCGAAGTAGTCATAGGCGGGCAGAATGTGATGGCCTTCCTGGAGTGGGCCACAATTGGATCTCAGGATCAACTGGGACAGAGTCATACAATTTTCCCTCGTGCTTTTCTTTCTGTGGCTGTTTCGCGTTCGTAAACGTACAGTACAGACGTAGGTGTTAACCTGCTGTAGAAGCTGTTTCGTCCCCGCGGGACGGACAATCGGAACGGACAGTAGCGATGACACCCGGGTTTTGTCTTTGCGTATCCAAGGTTCAATGGAAAGTCCGATCGATGGTGGGCGGGCATGCATATCGGAGATCCCGGCAGCTGAGCCTTCACCCGGCAATCGAGTGGAGGGGGGCGGCGGAAGCTGAATCTGCCTCGCTCGCACCCTCTCCACATGTTCCCACATTCCACAGTGATAATCTCACAGCTCTGAGCTTTCCCGCGGTACGAACCGCCTTATGAAAGACTTGATTGGTGCTCAAGAAATCGAGTTCTCAGCATGCCATGCATGCTTTCTGCCGTGGGGAGGCCACGGGAAGCGTCAACTGACTCGAACCAGAGACCAAAAAAAAAGAAAACTTGGAAATGTAGAGTAGAATTCTACAGACTTCGGGTCGGGTTCAGCTGACAGCCTGCTTCTGCATACGGAACCGGATGTCTTTTCCTTCGGCCTGCCACGAGGGGTGGATCGGTTTCCTATCTGCGGTCAAGATTTGTGAAGGTGTGATTCCGTGGGCAATGAGCCCCGCCCCCCCCGGTTGCACTGTACATTTACTGTACCACCTGCCTGCGTTTGATATTTGGAATATTGGTCGATGATTTTTTGATTTGTATGCAGATGCAGATGCAGATGCAGGCTTGATGACAATACCAGGGCCGATGGCCTTTCGATCTGGCCTGGTTGGGTTTGGTACTTAGGTGGAAAGTGGTTTGGATATCGTGCTTTGGGGGAAGGTCATCGTTTGTAGGCTGTGTACTGTACTCCGTAAGTAGGTGCGCACTCCCGGTGGTGTGGAGCGGTCATCAGATGCTGGCTTCCGGTAGGGAACTAGACTAAGACATTCGGGATCCCGTTCGATGTGCGAGATAGAGGGCATTCTTCTGGATTATGATCGTCGTGGAGGGGTGTGCCTCTTTTGTCTGTTAATCCGGGCTAGATTTGAAATTTGAATCTGATTTTAATCTATGTAGAGTACGGTAGTATGCAGTATGCAGTATCTACTCCTGAAGAACTGCCCATGCTGGCGACGTGTATGCCGTCTATTTGGGAGCTATACATACCCCCACTGGCTCTGGAATAGGGAAAGGCTAACAATCATCATGCGCGGGATATTGCAATTGATCGCAGTATGCAATCCTCCAAGTCTCTCGTTTCCCTGTCAGGAAGAAGAATGTGGATGCACGGAAGAGATGATGACTGCGGCGGCGTAGGTGTAGGGTCACCATTCTAGCCCGCTCACGGATTTTGAGATTTTAACCGAGATCTCAGGGACATGGCTGAACCTCGCTTATCTTCTCGAAGGAAGACTATTGACAAGCCTTCAAACCTTGGAAGAGTAGAGTTGCGGCAAGCCACATTCCGGTCTACGCTTCTAGTTTGAAGTGATTGGTTGTTGGGGCGGGAAAGCGACCTCGGGATCGATCCACGATCTTGGATTCCCGGCTGGAGTTGGTTCACGGCAAATCATGCCGAAGCCCTGGGAACTGCGATGCGCGAGTCAGGGGTGGAATGTGGGAAGATGAGGTTCTCGCTAGGCAACAGCAAGACAGCGACAGCGACGCGATCGATGATGTCTGCTGGGAACTTGGGACTAGACTATGTGGGAGGTGCAGGGGGTGATCCACGGGAAGGTGGGAGGGGCCGGCGGTTGTTCTCGGATCGAGATGGAGAGGAACGGGTGCATGATTCAGGGGAACGGAGCGGGTTCGGCAGTTGATGAGAAAAGGCACTAGGGTTGTCAACTTGCCTTACCTTGCGAGAGTTGTTGGGGGAGACAGGTATTGGTAAGCGAGATGACCGGTGTTTCAACTTTTGTTGGCGATTGTGGGTGGTGGGATATACTGAATGGTATGGTTTGTTGGGAGAAGTGGGTTCAATGGGACTATTCGTAGTTATGCGAAATAAAGCTTGGTTGCTGTGCATGGGCGTGGGAACCTGATCATCTTCGGGCTCGTGCTGCTGGTGCATCTGCCGAAGGATACGGAGTATATTGTATATAGATCCCTACTTTCGGTTTCATACGACTGCCGCGCTTTTCTATCCTTCCGTTCTCTCTTGCCATTTGCCCATCCAGCCTCCTGTCTCTCGCGGACTTCCTTCCTTAGTCAATAAATCTTTCTTTGAGGTCGGCTTCTTTTTGTATCTGTGAACCTCATTGCAGCAGCCCTCTAGACTGTACATGATTTGTGGATGAAGCATAGCACGAGAGAAGAGAAACAGATCATTGCAGGAAGACTGGAAACGACAAAGCATCTACGGTCAGACACATTCTAAGCTTCTTCAAGATGATACCAGAGACCTAGTGCCACAGCACCAGGACAATGCCTTCTTGATTACCACTGGTATGGCGCTTCCACCAAGCTAGCAGGAGGGAAGGTCCGCGACCGTCCCGTCTCAGTTCCACAACCCACGTCGCTACTATCGCCGAACATTCGTACAGTACATTCCAGGGAAAGCACCATGAGCATCGGTCCTTTGTGAACTATTCCATGGCCTGCGAGAATACCCCAATGTCCCTGCAACATCCTGTAGTCAGGAGCGGCTTAGCCCCCTGTCAAACAGCCACGGCCAACAATCCCATACGTAGAACTACCGCTCGCCGTCGCCGTCGCACGGACGCATCTCCAATACCAGCGCACGGTGAAAGGCTGCTACACTACGCGAGTAGCGTACTCCCATTCAGTAACAGCATGCCATGACTGCGTAATGCATCATTCCGGGGATGCACGACACGAGGGATGTTCGACACGAGAGTCGTCCGTCTGGCAGGCACATCTCCGGGGAAGTGTAAAGGAAAGAAGGCAAACGAAGAGGGGGGGGTTTATACTCCTTCCGCCATCACATGACCGCGACAGCCCAGGAGCCACGCGGGAATGCATAGACCGGCTGCGCTGGTGGTGCACGGGGAAAGAGCGGGCTCGGCGGCGCACGCCTGACCCTGCAAAGGTGAGCTGCGCGAGATGAATGTGTGGTAGGAGACATGTACCAGAAGATCCGTGGTCTGCGGGCATGGCAGCGCGGTCCAGCGCGCCCCGGGACGGTCCCGATTAAAGACAAGGATATTCCCCATGTTCGTAGACCCATATAATATGGCAAACCGGAAGGAGGCGACGATGCCAGCGTAGCCATGGGAAGTGCCGGGACATGAGATCGGACGAGCCCAGAAGATGGGGAGCTCGAGCAGTCCGTCCGCTGGGTTGCGTCGAGGTCGAGGCATGTGCACTGAAATAGCGCAAGCAATTATATGCTATATGCTGTTTTGTCATGATCTAGGCTTGGATGCTGTACAGTCTTCTGATACAAGGGTGCGACGAGGAGCAGTCAAGATAAGCACTTTATATATAATTCATATTTTCGACAAAACATAACCGATGCAAGCCTCTGCATTCGCATTCACAGTACAGGAAAACCTCGAAAGGGAGAAAAACCTATACTAAGGCCATGCCGCGCCACTTCACATCTAATCCACCCGTTGTCGGAGCGTTCCTCAACGAGATCTCCGGCCTCGGGAAGGGTGTCAATCGGGGATCTTCAACACATCTGACCCTCATGTTATTGACTGAGTATATCATCCCAGATGGGACAAGCACTTACCAGCACCACGGATCCGAGGAAGAAGTCCCAGCAGTAAAGGCTTCTAGAACGGGATGCTTCAACTTACCGACTATGAAGTCCCGTGAGCAAGAGTCTTGAATGTCCGGAGAGGCAACACTTACCATCGATTAATGAAGTGGAACCGTGCCGTTAAATCCGGGAATCGGAGGTAGTGAGGATGTTCCCTTTTGCGTTCATATAGGCTTAGCATTGGGTCGAATCGATATCAAACAGACTGACTCCGAAAAGCACTCACATTCTGTACGTTGATTAAAAATGGGTTTCCAATGTCTCAGAACGTCAGTATATAGCTATAACGAGAGCTCAACTCACAATCTGCCAAAGTTAGTATTCCCCGTCTGGATGGCAGACATCGTCGGAACAACTCACCGGACCAGTAAGCTTCGAGTAGCACCTTGGGTCAGCATGCATCACCATGACTCACTTTCAAGTTCCGCGTTACTTACAGGCTGCATACCGTCGTTAGCAGACCATTAAACCTCACAGCAGAATCAAATACTCACAGGGAAGAATCGCTTGACCGGCGAAGAGGTGGTGCACTCGGTGGCCTGCACGAGCCTCGCACCGTACAGAAGCTGCTGAGCAGCTTGGACTCCTTCCGGGTTGGTACCGTTGGTCGTGCTCACCCCTTGCTGTAGAGTGGCGATCTGCTGTTCGAGTTGAGTGCAGTTAACACCGCCGTTGATGGGGACCGCATAGGTGGTAGACGCGAAGATGGCCACCAGGGCAGCAGAGACGCAAGACAGGAAGCGCATTGTGACTGATGTGACTTAGGCGGTGCCGGAGTTGCAAGATGTATATGGGACGACGAGTCGAAGTAGTGATTGAGCTGGTGCTTCTGTATTTTGATAAAGAATCAACTTAAGGATTGAGGTGCCCTTTTATGTCTTTCTGGAGCACTTTCGAGATGCTTGGATCTGCGACTGGGATGTCGCTGTAAATGCCGAGGAAGAGGAATCGGAGTTCATGATTCAACAACAATCTAGGTTTGAGCACGCTACAGAACACGGAACTTGGTGATCTCGGGAATCTTTGTTCTTCGTAGGATCGACCAGCCATGATGACATTGGGAAGGAAGTTGGGCAGGACTCTTCGGATGAATCCATAAACATCGGCTTTATCGAATTCATTGCGCCATAGTCAAGATGAATCCACCGGCAGGACGCGTACGCCACAATGCTTATCGGTAGATAATTCCCTAAATCCCCTGAAACTCGCTGGGGACTCATCGTATGTCAACAATAGCTGGGCAGGAAAGCATAGATTGCAGCTGAGAATTCGGAACATATGCTGAGTGACGATTTTACCTTGATCGTCATCACGCTGCATGAACTATCGGCAGCGTAAACGATCATTGTTCATAGCGGGGGATAAACCGGAGTAAGACATGGATATTCCACAAACCATGGTATCGTCTTCGATGACACTAGTACGTAAGGTGATAGCGCACGGCCATGGCGGTTGTGCCGTGCACAGTACAACAACGTGCATGGTCTCCAAAGAGACCTCGTCTCTGAGAGTCTCCGTTGAATTCGAATCTAGAGTGTAACCAAACTTACAACAGGGTCATCCGTCGATCACTGCAAAGCAATTACTCTTTTCCCGGCTCAAAATGCCCGGAGTCGTCTTCATCGTAGTGTGAGTCTAGAGCTTTCGGTCTTTTCATCGTCTGCCTCACCTTCTGGGTCAATTGTGGTTCCCCGGCTCGGAGTAACTCGAATGCTTGCGCACATGTCGATAGTGACTACAAAAGCAATGAACAGCAGCAGCTCGAAAACTCAGGTGCACTGTAGCACAAGGCAGGCAGCAAAGCGGACGGATGTTGCCTACTGTGGATCCCAAAAGGCACCTTGCCTCGGGCTGACGCCGAGACTCGTTGCGAAGTTTCGTTCAACCCCAGAAGATTATCTGTATCAGACAGTTCATCTGGATAGTACCAATAAACACAGCTTCCATGCTGATACTCCTCACGTTTCAAACCTCGACAGGTACACATTTTGGATTCCCGAAACCCCAAATCAGCAAGCCAAACAGAACAAAAGTTTATGAAAACCAATTGCACATTTCAAAATTAGTGAAGTCCGAAAGGTATTCAATTATATACAGGTAAGGAGCAATGACAAGAAAAACACATAACCATGATTACATTTATGTTGACCTCCCGTTTATAGACGATTCAAAAAAAGGCATATGTCGGGACTCCGCAGCCAGCGGAACAAAGGCGACGTGACGAAGCAAAGTAAAGCATGTAGAATACAAGCTGAAATAGCCAAGTCATGGTCTTTGCTCGGCTGATTCCAAGAAGAAGAAAAAGGGTAGAAAGCCTTTCCCCAAGCGAACATATCTCTGAATTAGCTCGGTACCACCTCTGCAAAGCGGCAAGGCCACATGCATAAGCTGGTTGAAAAGCAAAGACGACCATTATCATCAAGGTCATTCATTAAATAGTTGTAAGTGTTGGCGACCGAGTGTGGAACCCGGCTTCAGAAATGGTTGGTTGTTGGCTCGCTCATGCTCGGCCGAAATATGGCGATGCGCGAAGATTGACTGTGAAAGCGAAGGGAGAACGAATCCGCGCTTCGAAGCCGATTTGCTAAGCGGGTCATCGAAGAAGTGAAGAGATGTGCCCCTAAGACCGTCTCACCACTCGTGCACTTAGGCCTTGCGGGAGCGGGTAACAGGGCCGTTGGAGCGTCCGGTGGACACAGCGGCACCGTTCGACTTGGCCTGTCCGTTGGGAGTGGAAGGAGCAGAGACTTCGAATTTAGCCATGTCAATAACAGCCTGTCTGCCGGTGTTGCGACGAGGACGGCCAGTCTTGGCAGCCTTGTTGTAGGTAGCGACGTAGAAAGAGATGAACAAGAACAGGTAGGAAGTGATGACAGCGATTCCGGAGAAAGCAGCGAATTCCTCTCCGGCGCACTTGCCCATATTGGGAGCCCAGGGGAAGTAGGTCGAGGAGAAATAGGTGTAGGAGGCGAAGTAGATAAATCCTAAACAACGGTCAGTTGAGTTTCCGGAAATCGGTCACGAGACAACGACTTACCAAGATCGATGACGAACTGGATGATCTGAAGGCGGGTAATCCACTCCTTCCACCAGATACGGATACCACGAGCGCTCTGGAAGTAGTACCAGTACATAACAACGTGAACCAAGAGATTGATGTCAATGACCACCCACTGGACAGCGGTCAAGCCAATGAGCTGGGTGTAGCAGAGAAGAGCGGTGGCACCGTGGTGGTAAGTGTGAAGGAAGGTCAACGGCTTCTTCTTGAGGAAGAGGAAGACAGTGTCGATGAGCTCAAGGTACTTGGTCAGGTAGTTGAGCTAAGCGCAAACAAGCGGGTTAATTTCGGTCATTGGATGGATGTGAAACGGTTGCGAGACTCACGTAGTACAGAACGACCAGAGGCTGTGTAAGTCCACCCTCGTGCGTGCAGATAGTGTAGAAAACGCCGTGTCTCCAGAGGGTAGGAAGGAGTTGTTCGATAAACAAGGCCAAGAGCGTTGCGCTGATCGCGGTCAGGTAGAAGTTGTGGATCATGAACAGTGTGTTGAGCTTGAAAGCAGGACGGTCCTTCATGAACGCGCGACCACCAAAAATGATAACATAGTAAGCCACAAGCATCACAGCAGTCTCCTTGAATGTAGACATGGGTGTGACGCCCTCAACGAAGCGGAACTCGCTGGCGGGATATCCCACAACAAGCTCGAAGGCCTTGTCGAAGATAGGCCATAGGTGGATGCCAAATGGCCGATCAATGGTTGGCCTGGGCAGGCTCTGGAGAAGTTCGGCGGCCATGGTGAGCAATTGACCAAGATCCTAATTACTTGAGGAGGACGGATTGACTAAAGGTCCCGAAGTGTGAAGGACCTCAAATTTCTGCTTCTTCTTCCTCCTCTAAAAACTGCTGACAGGCCGGTTGGAGGGGTGCGAGCAGAGAATGGGGTAAGAAAAAGGGAGAATGAGAGGGGGGGGAGTTAAAAGCAAACGCAGCGATCCAAAGGATAAGAAAGAGGGATAGTAAAGGAAGAAGAATATGGAAGAAGAGAAATGAAGAGGGAACGGACAAGGTGGAGCAGCAGGAGGACTTGGTATCTCTTTTGACTGCCTGTTCGCAAGGAGAATCCATCCATCCTTCAGCGTGTCTTCTTTTTTGGACTCCGGCGCGTCCGCTGCGGCTGAAAAGAGACTAGCGCAACCTCGGCCACTGGGAAAAAAAAAGGGGGCGTCCGCTTAGGGCCCGACGATCATGTGCCTTCCGGGTTCCCGGTTCGCCAGCTGGTTCTGATTTTGCTGCCCTTATTGCGCTGTTTGCGGCTGGCAAGCCTCGTAGCAAGAGATGACTTCGATATCTAGAGGAGGGTGGAAAACTCATGAGGATAACTTTTGAGAGTCGCTTCCGCCGGTTCTATGTCACGTCAAGGTCACCAAAGTTACCTACCTAATTGACAGTCTGTAATTGGTCGTCATAACTACAAGTAAGAAAGCGGCCACTAACTTAACCCCGGGCCATCTTCACATGCTGTGCTGACTGTCAGTTGGTGACCATCGAAATCGGTGTAAATAACCACCTAGTACCGTACCTACTACAGTGCCTGGGAGATCATGATTAGATCCATTTACTGAGTACTATCCTAACATTGCCAATGTCTCAATGGATACGAATTCCGAACCTAGAGATCCCGGTAACCTCTTGAAACATAATCTCCATGCAAATTCGCCAGGGTTATGCCAAGGGTTCTGGGTCACTGTATACCTTGATTCAGAACTCAGCGACCTGGTAACTTATCACTCACTGTTTACTCATGAAACATGTTGCTGGTCAGTGCCAGGGTCCAAACACTAGTCAACGAGATCCGTGGGGAATATTTCCGATCCCCGATCTAATTTCTACGATTTGCTTCTTGAACAAGTTGCTGCGCGGGGTACTTTGACAGGTTATTTTTTGAGAAGTCAGTTAGAAACATCCCGGTGGATAGATGTTAGAAAGAAACCGTTTTGAAGGACGAGGATTCGGAGAACCAATAACTGACTGAGAGCTGGACTGGAAATTGAGATGACCGACTGTCTATCATAATTGTCAGTCTTCCAGCGGAGGCAGGCTGGGGATTCCATGGAAAGGACGTGGAAACTGGACTGGACTGGACTGGCCGCAGCCATAGTCACCACCGGTTGTTGCCAGTCTCAGATCAGGCTTGCACAATCTCTGCCTGAGGTGGTACTGGTAATCTCCGGGGCAAGGGTGCGGATCTCGATGCCGCCCACGGGACCTGGGCCAAATTATATGAGCCAATTGAGAGCTATAAGCTGCGTAATTTACCGCCTATGCTCCAATCACAGCTGGCAGATAGAAAGCAGACCTCGGGCTCTGGGCAAGTGACAGCATACCCGTAGTAGTGGCCTGAGGCATCCGCCACCTTCGGGTTGAGCGGGAGCCGCAAAGGAAAAGCCGGCGATTATCAATGACGGACGACCACTGCAGGGCGAATGCTCTGAATGCCTGAGGCACCAACAACCTCACACCACCCGCAAAATCCTAGTGCAGCCCGGCTTAACCTCTGACTTCGACTTCGTCAACACCTCGCCCGTCTTGCTCTCCCCTCACCCACCCCCAATTCGCCCACCTCCACCACCACCTTCCTCTCACCATGTCGCCAATCTCCGTCTTCCGTGTCGCAACTCGCGCCGTCCGTCCCTCCGGCTTCATCAGAGCCGCTCAATTGCCCCGGGCCCGCGTGCAGTTCCCCATCGCTCAGGCTATCAGCCGCCCCAGCTTCAGCACCTCCGCTCAGCGCTACTCTGGCCACCACGAGGACGAGACCTTCGAGGAGTTCTCTGACAGGTATGCAATCATAACTTGCCGAGCCATTGGAGACAGATGCAAGCCCGTTGGTCCTTACTCGGTCGCAACGTGCAGCCGAACCCGAGAAGCCCGGCGGCCCCTTCTGATGCCTTGATTATGGGCATTACCTCGCTCTCTACTTCAAACCCGTCAACGACCTCACCTCTAACCCAGCCTGTCGATAGATTCGAGAAGGAATTCGACGGTGTCCAGGATGTCTTCGAGCTCCAGGTAAGCCGATGCCCTCCCCTGCTCGCGTCATCCACTCGCATCCCCAGCCTTGATAATCAGCCCAGCTGCCATTGGGCGGATTGCTGGGCGCTTCTCGCTCGAACCTATATCAGCCCGGACTAACAACATCGATTCTTTCAAACGCAGCGCAACCTGAACAACTGCTTCGCCTACGATCTCGTCCCCTCCGTTGAGGTCCTCACCGCCGCTCTCAAGGCTGCCCGTCGTGTCAACGACTTCCCCACTGCCGTCCGTGTCTTCGAGGGTGCGATAACCTCCTCTCCTGTCCTCCACTTTTCTCCCACTTGATCTCATATCTACCGTCCGCAAATCCCTCGAAAAGACACTAATCCCTTCTGTTTGGCCGTCAAAAATAGGCATCAAGGCCAAGGCCGAGACCAAGGAACAGTACAAGCAATACCTCGAGGCTCTTGAGTCGCTCCGCCTGGAGCTGGGTGTTCCTCTCCGTGAGGAGCTCTACCCCGAGGAGCAGTAGACGCAGAACCTAAACCCTCTGTGTCCGGAGTTCACCCGTCTCGTCTCGTCGTTTTATCTTTTTTATGTTGTCAGTCAGTTAAAGATAAGGAACGCTGTATACATACTCTAGAAGTGCAGTTGGAATGAAGTTGCTGAAATGTCCCGGTGGTGTGTGTGTGTGTGTATCTTCTCTATAAAAGAAGGAAAGAAAACGGACCTCACATGGCCGCGTTCCGGCTTCCTGGCTGTCGTGGGGAAAGGGGGTGGATTGGAGAGTACACGCGTGCTTTTTCTATACCAGTGCTGCTTTTAAATCATGTGAGCATATGCTTGTTACTCTGTATTATTGAGGGGGTTAAAGTGTGGAAAATCGAAGATGATGTTCTTGTTCTACTGTTATTGATCTATACAATGCGATTGGGGGCGGCCTTCGTGGATAGGGACCCGGTAAGTCTGCAAGCCATTGAGCCATTGATTTCATGGTCGACTTCTACCAGAGGGCACAAGCGTAGCGACCAGGAAGGCCATACAGTTGGAGGGCTTCCGCTTCCAGAGCATCATCAATGGCATGACACATTGAGAAATAATGTTATAGGGACAGTAAATGCCAGTCCGGACATGCCTAGAGATAAGCATGACACACCGGAAACAACCAAACCCGAGAAGCAGGATTGAAGAGAAACAAATCCCTGGATAACGCCCCCCAAAGTTCAGGATGAATTTTAAGCAATTTCTTCGTCAACAAGACTGGGTATGTAATGGTGGTAGAACATGTAAGCTGTGGCAGCCGTGCGCACTAAAATCCTGTACATATAATTGACCGCAATGCTCGAAAGGCATAGAATACCTGGTGCAGAGAACAGACACCCTTGATTGAGTGCGTAAACGAAGTGTTATATGTGGCAAGATCAGAGATGCCTGTCTCTTATCTCATTGCACCTCATGCGCGACGTTCGCATATTGAGAGATAGAGGAGCACCTTCCGTCTGCACCAGATAATTAAGTGTAAACGAAGTCATATCATGTCGCGCCGTATCTTTTAGTGGGTTCCGACATGCTTGAAATAGCTGGGTCGGCAATCTTCCTTGGCCAGCCAGGGCTCACCGGCGTAGAACTTGGCCGGAGTGCAGCCGGAACACTTGGGGGAGGTGGGGCAGTTGTAATAGGGGATGTGGTTGTAACCGATGTCTCGGAACCTAAGAAAAGTGAGTTAGAGGATAGATCACGGATGCTGTGGGCACAATGCGAGGACATCGACTCACCAATGAACCTTATTCTTATCGGCGAAGAGACCCAGGCCGATAGAATGCACCGGAGCATCACCCCAGCGCTCGTAGTAGAAGCCGCCCGCCCGGTCCAGGTGCTCAAAATAGGCAGAGTACTGCTCGCCTCTGAAGAACTCCATATCGCCAATTTCGAAGTTGGACCAGAAGTGGCAGGTCGAGTATCCATTGGCAGCCTCCGTGTGCTCGGGTCGGAGTTGATCATCGGTGAGCCAGTTCATCATATTGTTCTTGTTCAGGTAAGTCGGGTTCGCAGCGAGGAACTTCTTGGTCTCGGGCCAGAGTGAGGGAATACTCTCGGGAGCATCGAAAAGGTTGATCGTGAAGCCGTAGGTGAGGTTCCGATCCTCCATGTAGCGGAAGACATCGTAGTCAACATCGCAGAAGAACTTGACCTTGGGTTCCACACGCCAGTAGTACCGGTACTTCTGGAGGGCGGGGTGTTGGTAGAACAAGCCGCTGTTCCAGCGGCACATCTGGTGATACGAGATCTTGTCACTGTACTGGATACCCTTCTCCTTCAACAATTCGGCGGACTCGCGGAATAGGTCCATATCGATCCACTCAGGGACCTCCCAGTGTTCCTTCGGCACTTGCTCTTTATGTATACGTCAGAAACTTGTGGTATAATTGCCTAGGTCGATCAGCTGGACATACCGTAGTAGCATTTTGCCTTCGTTTCCGCCTGCGTCAGCTTCTTAAATTCTTCCGTGAAGGGCTGGTCATTGAAGAAGATCCAGGGATAATTGAATTTGCTATTCCAGGTGCGCTCAAGATCGCGAATGGTCGGGATCAATTCGTGGAGTTCTTCATTTCGGACAAGAGAGATGAGGGCCGCGTTGGTACGGGGAGATTTCGAGTTGCCGGGACTATAGTCGCCGTCGGTCACACGCCACAATTTACCCTCGGGCTCGCCAGTTGCTGTTGAAGAAGGAAAAAGAGTATGTTAGTAAGAGATGGATAAGTCCAGAGGAGTGAAGTCATTGGAGCTGCATAGACGTACGATCTTTGAGAGGATCGGAGGTGATGCCCTCATATGGTGTTGATGATGATGACGACGACCCCTTACTGATCAAGGCGGGTGTTTTGTTCATTTGAAAGATGAGGAAGAGGACGAGGATGATACATGATGCAGCCAGCATCCGGATGGGTCTTGCGACAGCCATTGTGCCGGTCTGCAAAATCCCCACGAAAGGTGTAGTGGAGGGGGAAAGTGAGCAACAGGGGAGAATTGAGGCCGCAGGGGAGACTTGTCGCTACTTAATCAACTTATCGCCGCCTCCCGCCGCGAGACTCTCTCTCTCCCTCTCTCTCTCTCTCTTCCAGACGGTCTCGTTCCAGTTTCCGAAACACCCAGCCGCTATTCCCTAACAGGACTAGCGTGGATCTATCCTGATCAATCATCTCTGCCGCTCGGTCGCCGACCTGCACCACTTCATCAGCGCCGCGTAACCAACTCAACGGCCTTGATGAAACCACAGGACGATGGAGAGCGCTCCTTTTCGTCTTTTCCTTAGTGGCTGTGCTGATATCCAGAGATAAGGTGCTCAGACTGCCTCACCTATGTTGTGCCCGCCATGGCTGCTACGGCCAACGTGAGCGCTCTATTAGAAAAGCTAATTGAGGCCGTCGCAAAGGCTGACGCAAAGGCATTTGGTTCAAGCCCACTTTTACTTCAAGGGTGGGTGCTAACATGTCTTGTTTAGGACATACCACGCTTTGCTGCCCTCAAGCGTCGTGCCGAGGACACAGTCAAAGCTGGTGCTCATGGCCGTACAGATCAGTTTGCGGTTGCCAACCACCTGGATGGACTGCAGGAGAAATTCCAAGTCCTCAACAAAGACGAGCTTGCAGATGCACTTCGCTCCAGGTTGCTAGAGCTCAATGAGCACCGTAGCTCCTGGGCCCCGGAATTTCTTTCTCTGCTGCTGGAACTTGCAGATCGTCCGGCTCAGTATTCACGACTGGATCGAATCCCAAAGCCGAAACTCCAAGAGGAGGCCGCACCGCTCACTTGGTCTGACTTCGATGCAGCCGGGTCAGCATTTTGCGAAGAGGATATCTGGGAAGCTGTAGACTACGGAGCCGATTCTTCCGATGAGGAGATCGCATCTGTTTCCCTGTCAACTGACACCCACCGTTCGCGGCCACCCCGGATTTCTATAGCTCCAGAAGAAGATTATGTGATTCCAGATGCTGCATTGACATCTGGTGATGACGAAGAACTGGTAAAGTCGATAAAGCAGGCACAATTCTGGACAAGAAATAGCCAGTTCGATGGGGATCACGAAGTAGTATCTTCTTGCGCCTTGACGGAACTTGAGGTTATTCGGGAGACAATCTTCATGCTACAAGGCCTGCCTACGTCTATGTTTCGACGATTTAATGGCAATGTCGAAGTAGATCAGAACTACAATATTGCGCATTTGTCGAGAGAAACTTTCTCCTCGGTTCTACGATCCCTGAGTTCAGTCGGAACTCAAGTCGACATTCTCAGACTGTTCGTCAGGATGCCACAAACTATTCCTTCTATGCAAACCTTCCAGCGGGGGCTGGAAGGCTGTCTGAGTAATTATGACATGTTTCTTTCAAAAGCACAACACCAATACCTTTCTCCAACGTCAACCGCCTCTGTTAGTCTGCTGCAGCTCTCGGAAGATGTGTGTCGTGAGACTAGGCTTCTCCTGATACTGTCAGACCTAGTCTCGAAGCTTGAGACAACGTCAGTGAATGCTTCCGTTCAATGTCTCAATCGTCTGTACGATGTAGTATGCTTGACTCAAGCGACAGGTGACGATGATGGGTTCGCGGTCCTTGCTGATCTGTTCTTTTCATGTCTGGAAACATATGCCCGACCTATTCGTCTCTGGCTAGAAACCGGCAAACTAGAAGAGGCAGCCAATCACGGGTTTTTCGTTCACCACCAGCAGAAGAATGGTGACCTGCGAACGCTCTGGCATGACTGGTATACCCTCGATGCGCTTTCGAACATCTCCTCTGTGCCCCAATTCATCCAACCCATCATGCAGAAAGTTCTCATTGCCGGCAAGAGCATGGTATTCTTGCGGCACTTGAACATGAGTCCGGGTGATGAGGACCGCAGAAAAACATCCGTGACGATAGAAGACGTGTGCCCTCCAGAATCCCCTTCATCTTACCTTCCTTTTTCTATTTTGCTCGAGTCTGCCCTCCAGAGGATGGTGGAGGAAAACTACAATGCTACATCCGCGTTACTGAGACGCAAGTTTGACAAACAGTGTGGATTGTGGGAATCGCTTCAGGCTCTGGAGTACATCTACTTCTGCCGAGACATGAGCATGTCTGGCATAATCGACAGTAAAATATTCGACCTGATCGATAGAGGGAAAGCGGCATGGAGCGACCGATATCTCCTTACAGAACTGGCACAGAGTATTCTTGGTTCGATGCCCTTTATTGACCCGTCACGACTCATTGTACGATCCTCGACGGATGGACCAAACGGCGAGAAGAGCAGCAGCCGATCGATGAACATGCTTAATGCAATTTCATTTGATTATATTCTACCGTGGCCTGTTGCAAACATAATCCCGAAATCCGCGATCTATGATTACCAGCGAATTTCCAGATTTCTGATGCAAATTCGCAGAGCGAAGCATGCACTTGTGAAACAGCGCTTACAGCATAGCAATATCCATGACAAGATACAAGATACGAGGAACAATACGCTAAGCTATGCGCTGCGACACAACATGCTCTGGTTTCTCAACGCCGTCTACAGTCACATGACAGACTTCGTCATTTCAGCAGCGACCGCCTCGCTACGCAAGGACTTATCTGCCGCCAGTGACATTGATGGTATGGTTGAGGCCCACTATAAATTTATGATGTCTCTTAAGGAACAATGCTTGCTATCGGACAATCTTGAAATGATTCACCAAGCCATTGTCGCTATTCTCGACCTTTGTGTCCGTTTTTCGGAGGTTCAGGCTACGCGCTACGGAAGCGACCAGTCTCAATTCCGGAGGACTTTGAGAAATGCAGACAGTCGCAATCATCCAGCTGTGGACCGCAAGACCCGCATACATAGTCATGACGTCGATGATGACTTTAGCGACGAGGGTGACGACGACTTCGATACCAATGATAATGAATCCGCTGACTCCTTCCATGAGTCGAACTATTTACAACAAATCAAAGAGATCAAAGACCAGTTCGACCAGTTAGTTGCGTCTGTGGCGGCTTGTCTGAAAGGTATAGGACGTTTTGACGGTCCACTGAGCTGGGATATGCTGGCTGAGAAACTTGAATGGAGGAAGGCGGGACAGGTCGTGATCTCAGGACCGCTGCCAGCCTTTTGAAAGGCACGATGATGGCAGTTCACATGAGATTCAAGTCCGATTTGAGTGCAAGTAGAACATTTCTACTTCTGACAATGCTAGGGCAGCCGGGACATCATTCAGTCTATCTTCTCGAGCGGCTGCAATTAGGATCTATCCTAGGGGTCTCGCAGTGGATCATGAGAGATTCAATTTCGCAGACTATGCCGAGTTCTCCTTTAGGTGTATTCCTTGGTACACAGGCAGTGGAGTCCCATCGAGGCTGGCACGGATCTGCAAGGCCACAAATCTCGAATAGAACCTAGCTTGGCCCATTCCTCCTCCCATATACCATAGACCAGGATCTGGCATGAATTTCACGTCAACTCTCAATACTCCTCATAACGTATTATGCAAAGAAGCAGAACAGATTACACTTACGGCCAGTTGGGACATAAACACCCTTCAACTCACCCTCCGGATCAATACTCCAGTAGTCCTCCACGCGATAGAAGATGTCTTCGCCGAAGAACGTGCGGACCGAGTCACGGAGGTTCCCTGTGAACCCCGTCGCGAAGATCACAACATCCGCCGGAAGGACGCTCCCGTCACTAAAAAGGAGGCCCTCTTCTGTGTATGACGCTAATGGACTATCGGATTTGATCTTGATCTATTCGAAAACCAGTCAGCGCACTTGACTCGCTTGTATTTCTAGCTTTCATATGATCCCCACCTCGCCCCTGGCGATCATTGCCGAAGACCCTGTATCCATTGAATGTCCACCAAGACGCTGGTTCAACTGATAGATCAGATCTCCAAATACTTCCACTCGGAACCCAGCGCGGAGGAGAGCCTGGAACCGCTCTGGCTCGGCGGCCGCCTGGGGATGCACGTCTGCCATGGTCATAAGACGCGCCACAGCAGTTGGGACGAGGTTCATCTCGCGGTCGGAGACTTCCGTAGGCGTCACATCGTTGAACATGCCTGGCGTGCCATCAGAGCAAGACTCTCGCACAAAACTTATAAAGACGGCAGCGGACGCAGCCTACCTTCCCATGCTCGCTGCAGGTATTCACGAGGCAGAACGTCTGGTGTTATCAGCTCATGAGCAAAAGGCTCATGTTATCGGTAAAGAAAGTGTAGAGCAACTTACAAGTTGTACTACGCTGCACCATAGTGACACACGAAGCCCCAGATGCGACCATATCCTTCGCAATATCATGGCCTAGGTTTCATTCGCATTCAACGGCAAGGGGAAGTCTCAAGAGACATGTTGAAGTTAAGCACTGTGGCTTACCTGTATTGGCCGAGCCGATCACCACGCCCCGTTTACCTTTCCATTTCTTTCCATTTTTGTATTCCGACGAGTGCAGGACCTCACCTTTGAACATATCCTATCAACTTTCATCAGCAAGGAGATAAGATGACGAGAACAAGCAGACAAACCTCGCCCGACAATCGAGGCTGGCGAGGTGTCAACGCGGGTCCGCCCGTGGCAAGCACGACATGAGAGCAAGTGACCGACAGACGACGACTCGGCCGCTGATCACCTCCACGCTGTCGAAGTCTCAGCGTCCACTTCCTCTTCATCTCATCCCAGCTTCCGGATTCCAGCTCGGTGGCCGTCCAGACGTTCTATATCCCATCAGTAGCTTCCCCTATACTCATCTCAGAAGCGGCGGGGGCGACGAACAATCCCAAACCGCCGCGACCAAGACTCCAGCCCATCCGCCAGCTGATCCTTGGACAACCACTCCCCACACGCAGGGGGAAAGGTACGCTCAAAGGGGAGATGAGACCAATTGCGAATGGTGTGTACTAGTTGGTGCCTTGGAGTTCAGCTCCGTCGCCATACCCCAGCCCTTCAGAGAGCACTGGATACTTATTGGGGAAAACCTACACCTCAACGAATCATACCTCACGCGCCAATTATCCCCGACCCGTGCATTTCTCTCAACCACCATACACGAAACCCCCAAAGCCTTCAACCGGCCCGCCGTGCCCAGCCCGGAGTGTCCCGCCCCGACGACGACACAATCAACGTCCACCTTCTCGTCCCCATAGATGTTCTGCACCCCCGGGCCCAGAGAATCCACATCCCCCCACCCGAGCAATCCTTCAAGCATCGTGCACAGCATCCAAACCCGATACTCCTCTTTCGCGGCGGTCCGGACCAGCGACACCACCCCGGAGCATTTGGTGGCTGGGCGCGATCTGGTCCGAAAGACGAAGGGCACGTCGATCCAGCCGCATTCGGCATCCAGGCGGACGTGCTTCGCGGCGTCGATGTCGACACGGAAGGCATGGGCTTCTCGGCAGGTGCGCAGGCGTTTGAAGACGTCGCAGATGGTGGGCGCGGAGTAGAAGGTTCGTAAGGTGCCGGTCAGCGCGAAGGTGTCTCGCCATACTGCGTCTTGAGTGAAAAGGGTGGGCGTGAGGTCGGTGCGGAAGAGGTCGGAGAATAGGCCCGCAGTCTTGCGGACGTCTGTGTTTGCTGGGATGCCTGTTGCTGGGAGGGCGCAGGGGAGATTCGGGAGGATGTCCCGCGGGTTAGTTTCTGGCATTGTGCTGGTAGCTAAGGTTGGGAAGTTTGGGGAGGAAGGGAGGGGGACTGGCTTGGGGATATGTACTTCTTCGATCCCGGTATGACGGCATTTGCTTGTGCGAAACCACACACATCATTAGGTACTGGTAGTATCGCGCATCTGCGGAGTGCTGCAGATGCAATCAAGAGAAACTTCTTCATTGGCTTATCAGCCAGTCGCAGAAGGAGGGTAATGCCCGATACGAGTTGATTGGTTGATTCGCATTATGACGAGCGACGATTCGGTAATTTCAGCCTAAATGCGGATAGCAGCACGTCAATCACTGCGGCACTGCATGCATGCCGAGAAGCAGGAAACCGATGCCAGGGTGATGGTGATGCGAGCCGCACGGCTGAGTATAGGAAAGTTGACATGAGGTTATTCTCGACTAGATGATAATGATAGGTTGAGATTGACCAAGTTGGTTGCAGACGAGATTGAAAAACGCAGCGCAAACTAATAGTATATACAGACATATGCATCGGTGGCAGACAAACATGCGAAACAATCATCGCTTCGTAAAGACCTCATCCACAACATTCGTCGCGGAACAAACCCCCTCAAACATCAGACGACACCTCCGTCTCCGTCGCAAGCGGCACGAACTTGCGCGTCTTAAAGGCCTTCTCCGAGTACTTGTCCCCCATCCCGAGGAAGCAGTTGATCTGGCTGGGATGGATGTACTGCAGCACGACCATGGCCCCGAACATCAGGAGCGCGTCGAAGACATAGATGAACGCCTCGTGTTTCATGAGATACCCGTCATACCCTTCCAGGTACTCCACCACCCTGATGATGGAACGAACGAAGATTAAAAAACTCGAGACATAGAGGGCGACCATGTGCCGGCGCCACACACCGGACAGTTCCATGGCCGTGCCGGTCGGGTTCTTCCGCATGCGCGACTCGAAGATAATAGCCGTGATGATGAAGAAGCCGAAGAAGATGATCTGGACGAAGAGACCGCCGATAATGATGTGTTCTCCGGTGGAGGGGTCGTTGGAGTTGCTGACCATCAGCCCGGCGCCTGTTCATGGATCAGTAAGTTGTCGCACGATCTGGGTTGTGGCTGGAAACGCACCGGAAGCCTGCATCAAGAAGGAAAGCACATCGCCCGTCACGAAGATCTTGGTCATCCAGCCCAGTCGGATGACTGCGTATTGCTCTGCGTGGACCATGCGGATGATCCGACCGAGGGTCATGTAGATGCTCGCGGCGAGGAAGGCGGGCGCAATGAGGATCAGGGCGCTCTGGATGATGTAGGGCCCTGTGGTGAAATCGGGGCTCTGAAGGGCGGACAGCAGGCGGCCCACGTATCCGATGGTCTCGACTGTCGATCCGCACTGTTAGCTTGTGTAGACATGGACAAAGGATGGCATGTTTGACGTACGGATGCCTCCAATGAAGAAAGGGATCATGAACCATGACCGAGTCCGGACCAGCTGGTAGAAGTGCAGAAGGGTGCTGAGGCCAAACAGGACCACGAAGATGCCCGCGGCTGCGCTGGATGGCGCGTAATAATATAACGTGAATTCCATAGCCATTGTGCCGGTTGATTAACAAAGGAAGTATTGGCAGAAGAGATTCAATGGCGACTAGATTGCAAGAGAGAAAGAAGACAAGACAGAGGATTGCGCTCTGCTTTTATCTTGAATGCTGTCGCTGTACCAGAAATCCCCAGCTGTGGACTCGATCCATAATTAAGGCAGTAGTGGACCTCATTTTGCCTCAAATGCAGCGTTAGCGATGGCTGGGGAACTGATCCTCGTGGCAGTGTGTCTAAGGGGAAAAAATGATGCTTCGTATCTCGTTGCGTGCTCCTGATTAGGAAAGGGGCGGCGGGTTCCACAATATCTAAGCTTAATCCCCGGTCGCACTTCGTTTTCGTATCCTTACCCGTTCATGGTTAATTCTATCCCGGGACAACGCACATCTTTAATGCAAACCCATGGTACTCGACTTAAAACCATTACATACATCTCATTGATGGAAAAGAAAAGGAGAAAAGAAAATTCTGATATCGTTTACATGGCCTCTTGAGCCCGTTGCTCCCGTTTCGCAAACTCATCCATGGGCGTCAGGTTGGCCTTGGACGGTCCCTCAATACACACTCCGTCGCAGCTGAACCGACTGCCGTGGACCGGGCAATCCCAGCTCTTCTCCGTGTCGTTCCAACTCAACACGGCCTTCATGTGAGGGCAAATGGCACTGTACTTATGGGCCTTGCCCTGATCATCTTTGTACACGGCGATCGGCTTGGCCGGGTTCTCCTTCATCACGCCTCCCGAACAAGGCGCGAGATCCTCGATGTCCTTGATGTCGGACTGCATCCACCGCTTGTACTGGGCATTAATCTGCAGATCATGCTTTATCATGCTAGGCATCGACTTTGCGATGCTCGTGAGACGGTTGGGGTTGTACAGCTGAGCCCAGGCGTTTTCAGTGCCGGTGATCTCGTCGGCGATTAGCTTGCCTGCTAGCACACCGTGAGTGAGTCCGTTCCCGCTATCACCCGTCACAATATAGGTATGGTGTTGGCCCTGGTTCCGGCCGATGAACGCCATATAGTCGACGGGCTCGAAAATCTGCCCGCTCCACCGGTAGTCGACCGACCCGGCCTGGGTGAACCGCTCGCGCACCCAGGTCTCGAGCTCCTCAAACCGGCCTCCCGTCTCCTCCTGGCCGACCTTGTGATCGCAGCCCCCGACCACCAGATAGTCATCTTTCGCATCGCACTCCGTGAAGCGGATGTACTTGTACGCCTCTGCCTCGTCATACAGCAGACAGTCCTCGATCGACCCCTTCGGCACACGGATAGCAATGCAGTACGTGCGCATGTACTCCATCTCGGCGATGACACTCAGCTTCTGCAGCGGGACGCACGTGGCTTGGACGACGTCGTTGGCGGTGATCGTGTAGCCGTTGAACGTCTTCACCTGGACGAGATCCTTCTCCTCGACGGACATCATGCGGGTATGGGTGAAACACTGGAAATTGGGCTGCTGGCGCAGCCATTCCAGCACCCCGACGAAGTACTTGGTCGGATGAAAGGTGGCCTGGTCGGCGAAGACGGCTGCGTCGCGCTGGTCGATCGCGCCGTCCCAGCCCTTTACGGCGAGTCCCTCGTGGTACGAGGCCCGGAGGCCCAGCTTCTGGGCCAGATCGACTTCCTCCTTCAGCTCCGCGATCTCCTGGTCGTGCTTGGAGTCGCCGCGCGGGTACTGCGAGATCTCATAGGCCGGCAGCGTGCGGTACTCGCAGTCGATGCCCAGGGACTTGGAGATCTCCCCGACGCGTTGTATGGCCCAGGTGTGGCTCTCGGCCGCGGCTCGGGCGCCCTGGGACCCGTGCTTCTTCTGAATCTCGGTATACCCGTCATCGAGCGCGTTGGACAGGTGGCCGCTGGTGCGGCCGGACTCTCCGGAGAGGACGTTGCGGGCCTCGATCATGGTAACCCGCTTGCCGCGGTTGACCAGCTCGTACGCGATGGAGATACCGGCGATGCCGGCCCCGACAATGCAGACATCGGTTTCAACATTCTCATCCAGGACAGGGAAATGTGGGTACTTGGAGTAAGGCATGTGGCGGACCCAGACCGGGTCCGTCTCGCCGGAGGTGTTCATAAATTGATGGGAGTGTTCCGCCATGGTGGCCAGCTTGCGGGAGGGCGAGGTGGTACTGGTCGAGTATCGAGAGACGGAGAAGAGCAGCTGGTAGTTGACACGTTTGAAGGCGCTGTGTCGGATTGCTCTATGGCATGTGACGCTGTAGAAATTCAGAGCTTGGAGCATGGCCGGAGCAATGCAGTGAATTAGGAGTCTGTTGCTTGGGCGTTTTTCTGGGTGGTCGGCATGGAATGCATATAAGCTTGGGTTATACTGAATCGCATCACGATGACCTAACGGTAGACCCAGCTTCGATACGCTGTTTGAGCGCCGAGAAGCATGACACAAACATGACAGGTGCGAATGAACTGCGTTCTTGTCGCTGATTGATGGGATACATTACCCGGATACGATAGAGGGAGCAGGTGGGCTGCGAAGATCTCCGCAGAACAAGGTCAGGTTGGCCAAACCCAGACGGAGGGGATCTAATCGTTCTACGGTTGGATCCGATGGACCACTCGAGTTCTAAGTTCCTTGATCTTCGTTCCCCAGATTGCATCCGACGATCACGAGTTTAGACTGGTAGTTCTGATGGGTCTCCAGCGCAGAGAGCCGGAGGCCATACCAGCCAGTGAAGAAGCTACTCGACTCGGCCAAGGCTTAACTTGCCTGCTTGAAACAATACCTATTCCTCAATTGTGGTTTGTGCTGGGAAAGATTGATAAGGGGAGGCTGCTATAGGTTGATGGCTGGAAGGGGGGATGACATCACAGTGACCGGTCTCACCAATCAGTCGTGACGCCATTCAGTGAGTGCATCTTAATGATCTTATTTATCCTTACCTGGTGCATCCAGAATAGTACTTACGGTGTTGATGAATCCAGTAGCAATGATAATGGTTCTCACCAAGACAAATAACATTGTACCCAGGATCATCACCACAATGCCCAAACCAAACAACACTCCCACTCCCAAAACCACCACCATCACCACCACAGCCACCCTCCCAGCAGTATCCCCAAACCCTATTCCCCATCCCCCACCCCAACAACCCCATCCAAGTTTCCTTCCATTAAACCATGTAAACACCTAGGGCATTATGTCCGGGGCCTGAATTTCTGCCAGGACTCCTCGAACCCGGATCCACGAACCCACATATCCTCGGAGACGATGCCCACGGAGTCCACCGCTAGAAGGAGCGTGGTCAGCTGAGCGATCTCAGGGAAATACGAATTGATAGATCTGAACGGCGAGGACGAAACGTACCCATATTGCCGATCTGCAGCCACATGTCTCCTCGGACGGGGAGATCCCATGTCGATTCCTGCGGGCGGCACAGCTGCTCGGCGGCTGCCACGGTGCGGACAAACTTGG